GAGAGACACCTCGGCACTGCTTTAAAGTTGTAATACGGCAGAATATTGTGAAATATCTTCGATGCCAAACATTTACCTGATCATCTGTAGTAAAGTTTGGATCCTTCGCTCGTTTGTAAAGCTTTTATCTGGAGTCAGAGATCTGTTCTTTAACCTGATTGACATCCCTGATCCAAAAAAATGAATCCTTTAATCACTCCTGCATAAATTCCCCCGGTCCCATTAAACGTTATTAGACGATCACGCGGGCCGACATAATGCACTGCATGTTGTCTCTGGTTCAAACACGTGCATTAGGAGGTTCTAAACACGGTTTATGAATCGATGACCGGGCTCCTAATCGAATCAAGGAGAGGAGAGGAGGCCAGGGGACGACGTTCTGCCCTTAACCCCTCAGCTCCTCCTCCCGACTGCCCGGCCGCTGGACAGACGCGCCGCCAAAAGGCCTCCCGCTTTAATGAGGAAAAATGTTGCAATTTAGCTGTGGCCTGCGCGCAGATTGAGCGCCGCGTGGGTGAAGGTGCAGTGAGCGAGTCCTTTCTCCTCATCAAGGACGGCATCCGAGAGGGTCCCTGTCTCTCTCGACCTCTCTCTACCTCTCTCTCTCTCTCTCTCTCTCTACCTCTCTCTCTCTCTCTCTCTCTCTCTCTATCAGCAGCATTCCTCCCCGCAGCCCCCCTCTCCCCATGGGGGAGCCTCTCTTTCTCTATGCCTTCTGTTTCACCTCATCAGCTGAGTTCACGCAGGGGTCACGTCCTGGCCCACTCCCACCACCCCCCCACCGAAGATGCATTCAATGCAATAGCTCTCTGTGAGAACCCCCGCGCTCAAGGAGTCCGAGGACTAAGCACCGTAGAGAGAAAACATATGATAACTCGCAAGGTTTGATTTCTACCTGCGCTGAGGGGGGGCTCACCGCTCATACGCACGTTGTTCGTATTGATCCCGTAGAGAGGCCCCCCACGGCTCCGCTTTGGGACTTTTGAAGGCAGTATTTTGTGTTTTTTCACCCTTTATTTTTCTATTGATTCATGAGGGACCTCAGACATTTGGAGTTAGCCAGAGGTTCCATGTCCATCCTCAGGATGAACATGGAATTGAAACAAATTAAGTAGGCACGACAAAAAAACCTGTAAAGAGCAGAAAATGTATGTGTTAAGTGGATGAAGAAAACTAATGAAACGGTATTTGATAATCATTCTCTAGTTATTTTTTTAAGCATATAGAACAAAAAATGAATTATTTGCCTGTTGTCTTGATTTATTTCCAAATGATATTAAAAAAATAACATCATTTAATGTGACTGATGGTTGCACAGAGCAAACAAAGCTGTTTGAATATGCAAACACAGGCTTAAGGAACCACTCATATTTCTCACTATGAAACAACATTACAGACCATCGTTAGTTGCAACTCCAAAGCTGCAACAAAACCACCAAAGCACATGTAGTGAAATATAACATAAAACCATAAGTAGCCCATTAACAGCTGTTATTGCACAGAAGTATACAGCACTCATGGCATGTGGAGTGAGACGAAGCATCATATTAATAGAATATAATCTCACAAGCTCAAGGCAGCATATAAAGTTCACCAACAACTGAGGACCCATTTACTAAAAAAACAATATGACTTACAGGCTAATATACTAGAGAGACGTGGGTGGACGTTTGGAAGCATAAAGAAGAAAAGCCAAAGAAGAACGTATGGAAAAGTGTCTTAAATGTTTCTAAATGTGGATCAGAACCGTCTGGAGGTGCACGTTCCCTCTGCCTCCCGTATGCTGCAGCCGTCATCATCGTCCCTGGTGCATTTTTGTGTTTTCGCAACATCTTTGTTGCATTACGACCACCGTTAGATCTAATGTAACGTATTAGTCTTCCCACCCGACCATTTCCCCTCACTTTGATTCAGTCTCTATCCAGCCTTTGATTGACTTTCAGCCTAAGTAAAGTGGATTTTAATGAGAGAATACATTAACTCCCTCTGGTCGTGCTCACATAAATCAGCCTTTTTCTTGCAGGATCAACTGCTGAGCTCATAACACCATGCTGAGAGAGTGTGAATAACCAAATGAGAGATTGAGGCTGTGGCGAACCGCTGCCAGCTCAGATGCATTGTTTTCTACCTCCCCCCTTCACCCCCCTCTCCCCCCCACCAGTTACAAACAAGTTCAGAAAGGCAGCAGAACGAGCGCGTTCATCAGCACCCAGGTCAGCTCGCCGGTGTTCACACTCAACACAAATCACACAGCTCCTCACCTTGATTTACCAAAGCACGTGACGCACCTCCGCATCCATCCGCTTCTCTTTGTTGGTAATTGCGCTCAGCTAAATGGGTTATGCTGGAATATCAATAAATTGCCATCAAATTAATGTCAATACCAAAGCTGTGGATGGGGCTAATTAAAAACGCAAAAGGGATGAAAATGAAGTCGTGGCATTGCCCTGAATAATTGATAATGCAATTTATGATTTTTATGAAAGAGTGCCGTCTGTCTGCAATTTTGATGAGGCCTTAATTAGATGCATTAATGTGTCTCTCTGTGCCTGTAGTCAAACTCAAAACTCAAACACCATGATGGTTGTTGGGGTTTAATAACGCCCTTAATTACACATTTTCAAATAACATTACCTCTTGAATTTCCACTTAAAGCCGCACGGGTCCCAGAGAGGTGTCGGTGTGTAATTTCCACTAAAGGCGGAATTGGTTAGGACCAATCCAGACTCGGCTTTTGTTCAGGCTGGGGATCATTCGGCGGGCGCGATGCTTTCAGGTTGTGCTGCTACCTGGTGGAAGAACCCAGAACTATTGAGTACCGTGTGTCCCGTTTCACTGAACTCGTTCCCCCCCCCCGCGTTGGCGGTTCACACAGAAAAGACGTCGAAGGGAGGCCGGGTCACGCGGCGGTACAGCGCTCAAAAGCGCGCGTGAATGTGTAATGTTTATTGACTCAAGCCGATCAGAGCCATCCCCGTGTTGACTTTGCACCTCCTCGTCTATTAGCCGCACTCGACCTCCGAGATAAATGAAGAGCGAGGGGAAGCAGACGGATGAGGGGGATTAGGATTGGGCCGCGGCGGGGAAGCGGGCCCGCTTGGAAGGGGAAGGAAAAAAAAACGGGACGGGCTGCCGGCGGATGGATGAGGTGGGGGAGCATAATGGCCGCTGTTTGTTATGATTTACTGAATCAGGTTCTCTTTGACAAAACAGTCCTTAGCGCCTCTGTATTTATAGCGTCGCCGGTCGCTCCATCCACAAAGGGCAGCCGGTGATATGCGAGCGTGCGAGTGCCGCGAGGTGTCTGGGGCTCTGCTCTGGAACGACCCGCCCATCCGTCAGGCCGGCGATGGGATCACTGGCTGGATTGTTGTGAACTTAAATCTCTGGCGTGTTGTAAGGAGATGATTATTTTTCTCACGGTATCAAAGGTATTCAGATAAAAACTCCCCGAGAACAGACTTTCACATTGATGTTTTCTATGAACGACAGAGAGGTTCCTGTTTGGGGGACGCTCCTTGTTTAAACACGGGACCCAGACGTGGGAGGACATGCTTTTCCCGGCAGGCGGTTTAACAGGTCCTCTGTGAGGGATCTTCTCGAGGCATTCCCCGTGTCATCAGAGGTCTCAGCGGGGAGTCACACTGACTCGTGTAAATGGTCTTTGAATTGTTCCCGTGCTTCAGACCAGAAAGGCGTCTCTGTATTTCCTTTTGCTTTTCATCCCTGCGGAGAATAACGCCTGTCGAGTGATCGATTCAGGGGAAGCCGAGCTTTGTATTTGACACATGCAAAAGCCAGATGATCACGTTGACACTCGGGGCGGAAGACGGCCCTCAGGGCCGACCCGGGGGTCAATTCGACAAGATCCCCTCTAACGGCTAAAGGCTCGAAAACTGGTCAAACAAACTGACGTCTTCAAAGGAACGAGCGTAAACACGCAACAGCTGGTTAAAACCTCTTCTCGCAGTGTAACAACTGAGCGTGTTTCCGGGTCGCGGGTCCCATAAAGGTCCGAATGCCAAACAAATCTGTTCATCTTAACAGGAATTTGCGTCCTGTCTCCCAGCAGGGCGATGTGAGGGCGAATGTGAGCTCTGAACACAACGTAGTTGTTATCAGGCGGTTGACATCTTGTGTGCCACTAAATCTCTCACTCCGCTCCGTGTGAGACCAAAGACTTTGTGTAAGAAGTGAACCCTGTCGTCCAGATGTCACCTGTCGGTTTTTCGGACTGATGTTTGAATACTCGAGCAAACAGAAGCAACCGTATTTGGAGGCCCTAAAGCATCCTGTGCTTTATGCTCACTTGTATACTCACTTGTCAGAACCAGAGGTTGTTGTCTTTGTGAAACACACAATACATGTTGGAAAAAAATAAAACAATGAATCCCCAAAAAACGATATACTGTGGACATCTGCTTTAAAAACTTATCTCGAGCACAAAGAGCACAGTCGGCTAAATACTTTCCAAACTGCGTCGTCAAACAATTGCTTAATCAAGCAAAGCCTCTTAAGTCGCGCCATTGTCCGATGAGGTTTCAGATTTGACTTTGCAAATTGAAGAGCAGGAAGGTTGCTCCCATTAAAAGTGCAATGTGAGCAGATGAATGGACCGCAGTGCTCAGCAGCACTGTAACTGTATTGATCCCGGCTTCCTAAAGCCCAGCGGGGATCTATTCGATCCCCAGGGCTGGAGACTCTGTATTCACGCTGTGTGTTTGTGTGTGGCAATGAGGAACCTTTTAAGTGCAGCTTATTAGGAGTTAGTGCCGAAACAATCAGGCGGTGAATTGGCTGATTGACTGAAACTATTTCAACTGTTTTAACTCTTTAAGAACCCAGTATGGTGCATTTTCTCTTCCGCTGTAGCTTCTCAAATGTGAGGATTTACCGCTTATCTCTTTTCATTTGACATCTAAAATGTTTTGGATCGTTGGACGAAGTCTTTCTTTTTCTAAATGTCCCTTTTTAAAGAAGTGAACTGCTCTTGTTTACAGACTTTGGGGACATTCCGGCCGTTACAGTCCAGGACCTCAGCAACATCTTGAAACAAGGCCACCTGGAGAAGAAACGAAGAGGTACAGCGGCAGAGAGAGACCAAGTGTCTGCTCGGTTTTATGAAATAACAGGGCCATAGTAATATTTGAACAATAGTCGTCACGTGAGTCATTTTATTCTGCAGATCACAGCTTCTTCGGCTCGGAGTGGCAAAAGAGATGGTGTGTCCTGAACAATTCAATATTCTACTACTTTGGGAGTGATAAAGGTTTGTTTGAAATGCCAACCAACAGGAAACGTAACAGGTTCATACATTTCGCCGGATAACATCCGGCCGCTCGCACTTCCCTGCAGATAAGCAGCAGAAAGGTTCCTTTTACATCATCGACTACGCCGTGCAGCTGGCCAGCAACCTGAGAAAAGACTCCAGGAGAAACTGCTGCTTTGAGTTCTTTTGTTCCGGACGGCGGTCTTTCCAGGTGTGTACGGCTCACCTGCTAGAAGTGTGTGCCGCCGAATCAGGGAAAAAGAATAACGATTAGTATTATTTGGGTGATTCGGTGGAAGTGTTTTTGTGACGTTTGGTTACACTTTCTACTTTCTACTTAAATTGTACGTATTATTATTATGTTGCGGATATTGTTACGATTACTGAATATTCTAAATATTCTAAAGAAAAAAATTAATTGTTTTGTTTATTTTCCTTTTTTGCTTACATGTCAAGGTTAAACATTGTGGTGATTTGAGCCGCTGACTACAAAGTGTATATATCATATTAATATTTATTGATGTTCATAAAAGAACACAGAAAGATATGAGTAAGAGGTTTCCTTCGAAATGAATACTCACTACGTAACCACGGTTTTGCATTCAGGGGCTCACATTTCTCTTAAAAATGTGCCTTAAATCTCCCCCGACTCGACTTAATAAAATAACCGATCAACGCAGAAGTGGACTCGTATTTCAGTAGCTCAGATATTTCAAATCTGTAAAGTGTCGGCTCTTGTGTCAAAATTCTGATACTGATTTGTCAACAATGAAAAAAAAGTGAGAAAACAAAACAGTAATTTATAAAATTGAGTAAATAATGGTAAACAATAATTAAAATAACAATGATTAGGTTCAAATAAATAAATATTGATCATCTAACACAGAAATGTTTGCTTTTGCATCAAACATCCAGCAGTCGACTTCTAAAGTCTAAATCCAATTGAAAAACGTTTTCACCACATATATCGTCTACATGGGCGATTAGTCACGCTGTCTGATTATAATACATTTATGTCTTAATTTAATATCCTAGATCTGATCATTTTATAGCTTTATAAAGAGCAAACATTGCTATTTGCCCCTTTTCTGCCTTGCCAGGCAGCTATGAGGAGAGTCGGTCTACCGAAGTGAACATTAAAAATCTGGACTTTTATTTCCATATAAATGCACGTTTGGATGTGATGATAATTGCACGATCATTGCCGCTGTCTCCCATTAGTTCACTGCCAACAGTCCTCAAGAGGCCAGAGAATGGGTGGACCAAATCAATTTTGTACTTCGAGGTAAGCCAGCGTGTCTTTGTAATTTCTTCCGGTGCTTATTGCACGTGCAGTTTTCCGGAAGAGCGTTCTCTGCTTCGTTGTCCCAGCAATTTGTAGGGGGGGGCGTTGCATTTAAAGGAAGTCATATGTTATTCAAATAGTTAGACAAATTGTAATTGGGTTTTATAAATAAGATTGACTTGAGTTGACTTTTTAAAAGCCACATAGGTTAATTGGAAAATACAATTAAAGCTGTATAAAACCATCTTTTTCTCTGCATTTCCCACTGAAGTTTGCTCGTATTTATTTCGAGGGGCAGAAAGGTCAGCAATGAATGTGAGCCCTTCATCATCTCTGACTCAGATAAACAAACACCCAATCCATCTCACGCTGCACGGCCGAGTCCTGAAGCTCCTCATTCAACATGTCATGTGCACCATCACGTAGACAGACACCCCACCACTCCTCCCCTAACCCCCCTACCAAATTCCAACTTACAGGAAATTGATTGGTAGATGTTCTGGTTATCCTCCAGTGCCATTGATTTCCGCTTGGTGTACGGCGGAGGACCCGATACCCGGTCGCCTGCGATGAGACGGCTCCTCCATCTCAGCCAGCGGCCCTGCCTCGTCCACTCTAAAACGGGCCGCTGGTTTGCGGGAAGTAACAGACACTCCGCAGTTTGTCTTACTTCCTTCCAGACGAGTTCTAGTCCTGATCCAGAACATGTAGATGATCATCAGTCTCACCTGAATTCAACCCAACGTGCTCAGTTTGTGGTTACTTCTCTCAGGAATATTATTTTTTGCAGTTGGTTTAGTTTTTCACTTCTTGTGTATTGCTCCAATTATGTTTAAACAGAGAAATATTACATCTGAATCAAGGGACCGTCGGAGGGGATGTGACGCCGTCAGTGGCGTCACATCCCCTCTGTGCATTAATTCATAAATGGGCTTTTAAATAAAGATAAACACATTAGTAGATAAGTCAAACGTAACAGCAGAGTTCTCGGCGTGCTGCTTGTGTTCTTTGCGCATTTCTCTTACTTTACTCTTCAATAGACCTGCGCTCCACCTCCATCCCTTGCGACGAAGACGAAGAGCAGGAGGAGGAGGAAGAGGAGACCTATGATGACGTTGACACGTCCAAACCGGGAGGAGGTTCCGAGGCGGGGGAGGTCGGGGAAGAGGACGAGGATATCTACGAGGTGCTTCCAGGTACGAGGACGTGGTTACCGCACGCACACACACACACACACACACACACACACGCCGATTAAATAGACAAAGTCAGACAAATAAACACACTGGCAGTCCGGCCCTGAGGGATTTCCGCACACAAGAAATATTTGTGATGATCTCCCCTGGCTGCGTGACCTGTGTTCCCGGGTTCCTCCGCAGCACCCAGACCGATGGCTCATTTTAAATCAAGCAACACTAATAAGCTTGTCGGGGCCGAGGCGGCGGCGGCGCACGCAGGGCGGGAAGGGAGGACTCCGCCCGCACCGGATAGAAAGCTGCCTCATCTGGTCTCCCTCCTTATCTCGCCCGGAGCCATCTGTTGGGAAACGTTATGTTGTTGAAATCAGCGAGAGCCGGTCGCGCCGAATGCTCCGTCATAGAACGTCCAATTAGCTAATGTTGCCAGGCAACAAATAGCCTGGCCCCAATTCAACCCGCCTGGCAGAGTTTGGGATGAGATTGCCTAGCAACAGCAATTTAGATGAAAAGGAAGCAAAAAAACGACATCTCGCAGGGCTTAAAATAGTTCTGGGGCTTTTAATGTTACATCTCAAATAGAAATTGGTGTTTGATAGAGAATGTTGTGAGTTGGGGGAGGGGTCCACCCCCCACCTCCCCCCGTGTCCGGGTGGCTACCAGATCCCAAGGAAGGACAAAAGGGGCGATCTGATCTTCTCAGGGCCGTCGTCCATCACTCCTTCTATTAAATAAGATACATCAAGATTCTGTTTCACTCACTGAGTACATTACCTTTGCCAAAATCACTAGTGAGAGGAAAATCCGTCTTCAGACTGTCACACCGGCGTTCAAAGCCATCTGGGAAGAGGTACAGACTCTGACCACAGATGGCATATCGAATGACGGGCTCTTTCGTACACTTTCTCACTCGGTCACTTATCAATCACCCCGCACCGCTCTTTGCTTGTAGCTGCGACGCAGTGATTCGATACTGCTCAATTATCTGATTTTATGGAGACAACGTGATGAAAAATAGGTTTCTATTTGAAGAGTCTTCCTTTATTAACAAATGTAAATATTCCTGTGCAGTAGTTTTTTCATGACTGTCTTCTGTTAGTTTGTTACACGCTACTTTTATTCATTGCTCATATGAACATCGCAGGACTTTTTGTTCCAGTTTTCTTTGGATTCCTAAAGTGGTTCAAGGGTAAATTTTGCTGATTGCAGCCCCCCAATTTCCTGCCGCGAAGCAAAACACATACAAGCCAAAGTTTCCCTAAAACGAGAATGAGAAAAATATATATCAAGAATTTTAAACGTGCATTAACCAAACTGGTCAAAGAAAGTTTAACCAGGAGTGAAGTAACATTTTTGCCGCGATGAGCTCTCTCAATTTTATCGGAGCAAAACTCCAAACACGGCTGATTTTATTGGCTGGAAAATGAAATCACTTTGAAATAGAAACGGTTGCGGCCTCACGACTGAAGGATGCTCTCGTGTGCTGCACTTAAGGACTGCTCAACAAATGTTTGGACCTTAGCAAGCAGAATTAAAACCGGCCCCTTTTTTCTCTCCCTTTGGTGTCGTAATAACGCACAACATTTTAATATTTCATGAGGTAAATTATAGGTTTTGCATTTTTTAAATTTGTTTTATTCATGTTAATGTGCAGCGACCTGAACGTGTGTGAAATAAAAGCAGGAGGAAAAAAAGATCCATCTTCTGCCTCTAAACTGTACACGTATTCACAAATATGCATGTGGCTATACTGTGTGTGCGTCTGTGTGTGCGTCTGTGTGTGTGTGTGTCGTCCGTCCTGGCCTTCCTGGAAGCAGAGGCGCAGGTCGTGCAGGAAGCTGGATAGTGTTGCCGGGTTGCGGCGTGGCTGTCAGCCTGCTACTGTGGAGGATGGATGTGGGAGACGGAAGGCCGGCGTATCACCGTGTCACCTCTCAGACCACCGGGTGCCACGCCCCCCCTTTAGCCCCCACCAGCCCCTCCCTTCAGCCCCCCCACCACCCTTTCCCGGTCAATGACACGTCCGCCTCCGCGTGCCTCGGCCTTGTTTTCTTCACCTTCTCCTGCCTGCGCTTCTGATGAATGTCAACAGATTGATTCTCAGAGAGCAGTTCAGTGTGGTTAAAGAAAAGCAGACCTCTTTTGTCTTGTGGAAAAACATTAGCGCTGGCTGATGACCCGCTTTGTTTATTTCTCCTGTTTTGTTTTATTGTGATGTTTTATACATTAGTGCTTAATGTGGGAAACAAAGCAGGTTATGTTATGTTTTTTGTCCTTGTTTGGATTTGCCCATTATGATGATGAAATTAAAGTGTTTATAGGATTTAATGTCTATTTATAACGTTCGGTGAGAAATCTCATTTTGTTTGGTTTGCTTTTCTTTTTTTATTTAGAGGAGGATTTTCCTGATCCGACAGATGAGAGCAGTGAAAGGAACAGCAGACCAGGTCAGAACCTCATTACATTCTGCTCCTAACATAATAACAATAATGAAAATCTCCAGATTAAAAGTCTGCGGTGGGAAAAGAACCAACATCTCACGCTTTTGCTTGAGTTTGCACTCTGCTTTTTCCATTTCAGATTGGTCATCAGATTACGCCAACTTCTACCAGGGTTTATGGGATTGCCAGGCCGACGAGGCGGACGAGCTGCCCTTCCAGCGAGGGGACCTCATCTACATCGTTAGCAAGGTCAGCTTTGCACATCAGCAAACACAAATCACCCACAAACCTCTCCCAGTTCTGTGGGAGACCGCTGTTCTAATGGAAAACCCAAATCCTGATAGTAACCCCGACTCGGACGTAACTACAACAGTTGAGACGCGTAACATATTTGATTATTTAAGGGGTTAAACAACATCAACGCCAGTAATCACTTTGGCCCTCGTTTATTTCCCGCCTCCAGCGTGTAAATCCCTCCCTCCGCCAGCGAGCCCTCGCGTCTCCGGCGCTGCAGCGAAGCACCGACTGCGGCATTGTCTCTTCCCGGGCCACTGGGGTGAAGTGCCATCCGGGCGCTGCGTAATGGGGCTGTTGTTCATTACGGAGCCACTATCGCTGGGGTTAATTGAGTAGGCAGCCATGCGAAGCCCTTTCCTTTCTGGTTGACATGAACTGCAGGTGAAGCCATCCTGCATCGAGGCTCCTTCCCTCTCGCTGTCTGTTTCCTCGTGTTTTATGGCCGCCTTGTAGTTACATGCAGAGTATGTACCAGTGGAAAGCCACCCTACTGGAAATCAATGGCTTGTAATTTGGGCAAATTTGCTCTGCTGCGCGCAGGGACTTGTTTGCCCAGACTGTTTTCTATTGGTCGGTTTGAGATTGAATTGTCACGTTCTGTTTTTAGCCCAAAGTATCTGAACAGCGGAGGGGGGAAGAATTTACAGTGCATTTAGCTCATTTTTTGTTGGTAATTATGCAGTAGAGATTGATAAATGATGTACTCAACGTCATGATTTTCTGCATCTTTAATCAGCAGCTGCAGCCCCTGAATTTTAATTATTTGTGAGGTTTTCCAGTTTTTTTTTTGCTTTTACAGTAAACAAAAGAACTTTTAAGATGGATAAACGCCCGGCGTTGGCTTAGGTTGAAGGACATAAAGCCCTTTCTTTTTGTAAGAGCAGATATGGCACAGGTGAAATGTGCTCTTCACACAAGACGGACTTTTAATCGTGGCTCTCTTGGCAGCGCCGGATTGATGAGATGCCAGCCTCCCCTGTCTGTGCGTGCTGCATGATAGGGGAAAATGTCACAAACGCCACGGACATTTTCCACGTAAAGATGACAAAGGTAGCGTACGGAAACAAAGGCTCCGCTATGCCTGAGACCTGCCTGGCGTGTTGCTCGTATGCATCGGATTAGTTCAAAAGCCGAGTTCCAGGTTGGAAGCAAAGACGAGATCGTAGTATCTCACCATCTTAATCACACAGATTACTCTTGTTTTGTCGAGCTGTGCGCGGAAGTCATAACACAGTGGCGGTCTACCAAAGCGTATTCTGGCTCTCCTCTAATGGATTTAAAGCGATGGGGTGGTTGTAAATTATTCAGAGATTATTCGGTGATCTCCGGACGGCTTCCTGGGCGCACGGTTCGCTGCGGCGACGCGACTCCGCCCCGCGTCACATTTTTAGCGTCCTAAAAGCACCACATTTCCTCCTCCATGAATAGCATTATTTGAGTTATAACCCGTAATCGTCTATTTGCTTTAATGAGCCCCGCGGGAGGGCTTCCCTGCATCTCCTGTGTGTGTGTGTGTGGACGCTCACGTTCACTTTCTTCTTTTTACGGGTGGGGATTCCTGAGAACCCCGACCTTGGCGAGTGAAATACGGGCCCTTGGCTGGAACTCAAGTCTGTCGCTTAACCGGGGACCTAGACACATGAAATGGCCGTAATAAAAGCAGGGCCCATAAATTCTCTCAGAGGGTGGGAGGCCCGGTTGTCTGTGCTGTTATGTCAACACTGACCATAATTACAAGGTAATAAGGACACGCTCTAAGTGCTAAATCAATGGTGCTAACAAACTGTTATTTTTAAAGCTGCGATGTGATTGACTGCTGAAGTGCAGAATGGGATCGCCGCAGGCCTGGTGTCATATGGCTGTGAACTGAGAGGAACATGCCGATTCTATAAAAGCTCCTCATTCATCCTTATCGATCTCTCAGTTACTGTAAAGTGGGGGCATTTTTACTGTATTTGTGTTGCTCTGTGTGTGTGTGTGTGCAAATGTATCTGTGTATCCGTGACAAAGTAAATATATTAAGAACCTCACAACTCATATTCTCGTACCGTGTGCAAACACACGGCCAAATCCATCTCACTCTGCTATTTCATTTCTGAGGGCTTCCATTTTTCTAATATGCATTATGGCATTTTAGTGTGTGATGACAAACACCGGCGAGCTCATCTTTCTGCAGCGTCACACGTCTGACATTTCACATTTTCACTGCGTCGTGACAAGATGCTCGAGGCCGTCGGATCCCTTCTCACCGCCGCGCGCGCTGCCCGTGTGCTTGGTCGGCCATGTTGCACAGCGAGCTGCGAGGTCGTCTTGCATTCTCACCGCTTAATGAGTGTGTGCAGAATCCAAAGACATGGAATGCCACAGGTCAGCTGTCACATTCCTGTATTCCCACGGCCACTCACGGAGGAACCGATGGAGTGGCTAGAGATTTATGGCACAAACCCATCCAGGGTCCTTAAAACTCTTCCTCTTTCTCTCTGTCGCCTCGCTCGTCTTCTCTCCCCCCCCCCTTCCTTCTCTCTCCCCCCCTGGTTTATGTCCCTCTCATCCCCGTCGTCCAACCAATTCGCAGAGAGAGGAGAGCCGGCCAATCCCGTGCCTCCCCCAAAACCGAGCGTCCCATCTGGCCCAAGTGTCGGGCTGCGGCTGCTCGCCGGCGAGCCGTAGACACCACTGACACCGTGTGGCGGTTTCTCGTCCTCGTTTTGTTACGTGACCACTTCTGCCGAGACCAGAAGCTGATTTACAGCCTTACGCACTAAAGTGCTGTGAATTATGGCCTCTCATGAATACAAGCTGTGATATTAAGGAATGACATTCTGAAACCCATTCCGTGCTGTAAAGTTTCAATCTTCTCTGTCCGGGCTACCTGTGACCTCTTGGGGTCTCCTCTGTTTAACAAGCCGCAGCCCGCGGGTCACACTGCACTGAATGCAGCCCCAGAAAAGAAAAAGTGGGCAAACAATGAGATGGGAAAAGTCAAGCAAGAGAGACAAAGAGGGGGCGGGTCCTTTTTATTCTTTTGTGTGAACCCCCCCCCCCCCTCTCTGTCCTTTCTCCTTTTCTCTGTCACACACCCATTTAAAGACCCCTGGCTGCTATTGTGCCCATAGACACCAAGACGCTATAGACAGGCAAGACATCCTATTTACCACCCAAAGTAGCAGGGGGTGAGTCTGGGGTTTGGGGGTCATGCAGGAGGCAGCGGTCAACTCCCGGTCAACTACAGTAGGTCATTATTCAGCCCAAGCCAATAGCCCCGAACCGCGTCCGAGCAACCCACCCCCAATCCATTCTGCCTAATTATTATAAATGAGGGGCGGCGTAAACAGCCATCATTACAGACACTCAGTGGCATACACAAATCCACTTTAAATTGCTATTAAGTTAAGGAGCTATCTGTAATCCCAGGCGTGCATTAGAAAGAAGCGAGTAGGTTTTCTTCTTATTAAATCTCATCGTCCCTGAGATATTTTCAAACGTTCTCAGGCTCTGTCATGTTTCCAATTTGAAGCCAATTCACTGATTTAATTAAAAGCCCACTTGGAAAAAAATGGACACTAAGTACCCGTTTCGATCGCTGGACCAGCAGAATTATCGTCCATATTTCTGGATGGATTTCGACAAGATCACTTTTGGCACAGAGTCCTTGTAACATCCCCGAAATAAGCATCCCGCCCCTCCCCCACAGTTACAGGTCCTATCGGGGTCGATTTGTTAGGTGTTACCTGTGTGAGCAGGGAGAAGAGCTCGCTAACCTAATAGCAGGGTTACAGATCTGTGTTAGCGGCGTCCATGTTTCTTTGTTAAAGTGACCAGTGACGGGAGGACTGCAGAGAGCTGCAGCGATTCAGACGAGTCCGATGCAGAGCAGAAAGAAATGCAGTGAGAAAGAGAAAAAAAACTGAGAGGATGCAAGTGGGAAGAGATGGAAAAGAGAGGAAGGGGAGGAAAGTAGGAGGGGTGGGCAGGGTGTGTGTGTGTGGGGGGGGTTTGTAACACCCAGGCGGCGGGTTCAGCGGCAGGGCAATGAGAGACTTCCTGCGCTCCATCACGCCCAAGGCCTGCCTCAGTCAGCTGGTGGCCGGGGAAAGATGCCTCATGTGTCAGGCTTATTAGCACTCCCCCTAGTTTGTATGCATTTGGGATTGTGTGTGTGCGTGTGTGTCATTTGGGAGCATGTGTGATGAAAATGGGAAAAAAGACAACATCTGTCCACAGTTTTATATTCCTACCCCACCTCTCCAAAACAGATGCATTTATTTTTCTGACCTAGATTTTAAAGCTTTTTGGGAGCACAATCGGGAAGGAGGCAGGCCGCCCCCCCCCCCACCCCCCTGAACCCCTGCACCCCCCCACCCCTTCCCCCAACACACCTCCCCGCCACCTCGCTGTCTTTCGCCGCCTCCACCAAACCCTCGACTCACCTTCTCCCCGCTCCAAGCTCAGAGTAGCTGTCAATCCGTCCTCCGGTTACGGGACCGTGAGCGATGGGCCCATCAGAATGCCAGCCATTAGCCAGCCCCCTGAGTGGTAAATAAACGATCGCGCCGGTACACTGCAGGTGTTGTCATGGCAACCCGCTCTCGCTGCCAGCCCCGCCAGCGCTCGTTCCCTTCCTCTCCTCTCTCTCTCTCGGCGGAGGAGTCACCGGGAGGTCAACGAGTCAACGTGCCGCCACGACACGGCGCTGTTTGGCAACACCCCCCCCCCACCACAAACCCCACGCCTCCCGTCACCCTCACACAGTGGATCTTATCTGCATCCAGGTTGCAGGTATATGTGTCACCTCAGACACATCACAACTGTGTATCGTGCTACATTTTGTAATGAGAAGATAAAACCAGACTTCTCTCGGGACGCTTGATTTTATCACCTTCAAGCCACTCGGCAGGAAGACGTGAACTTTGTTTCTTGGGCCCCTGACGATGGCGTTTCAGGGGCTTAAAATGCAAAACCACCCAAAAACTAATCAACCTTAGAGACAAATAAAAGAAGAGAGGAGGAACAAACAGAAGGAAGAGGACATTGAGGAGTTTGCATAGTTTTTGTGATTTGGATAATCTTCGCTCCCCGCCTCTTGGAATGTCCCTATTACAGCAGGTGTACTCTGGATGAACCCGTTTCAAGTATGAGGAAGATGGACTCTGCACGCCTGACAGACTTCCACTGCCATTGGCACCCACTCTGTGATGTAGCAGTTGTATTAAAATGGCGGCGCTGATAATCCAAAAGACCTTTCTCAGGGAGAATTTGAGAGTGACTGCACAGATGGGCCGCGGAGATAAATAAAACTCTCTGTCACTTCGGTTGGTGGAATAGTGCTGCGACGCCCCAAGGGAGAGAAAAACAGTTTCTCTCCCCCTCGCTCTCTGCGAATGTCTCCCCCCCCCCCCCCGCCACCCCCCGTCCGGCTGTCTCCCTCACCCTCTCCTCTTCTTCTGTTCACGCTAGCAAGGATGGGAACCTGAGCCAGCTTTCCGCAATCGCCTGCCACCCCCCCACTCTGCGGCCTCATGGGGGTGCAATTAAAAAAAAAGACGATTTCGGACCTTGCCCCCCCGTACCCCCCCCCCCCCCCCACCACCCCCTGCTTTATGAACCCGGAGAGGCCGAGCACAGCGGAGCATCTCTGCGTGAGCCGAGTTGAGCCAACGAGGCTCCTCTTGGCTGCCGGTGCTCATCCATCCATCGCTGCTTCTCATTAGGCCTCGTTCCTCCAGGTGGAGAGAAGGCGCCACCTTTTCCCCAAAACGCTCTCCGTCATGTCAGTGAGAGTGTGTGCATGCGCGTGCGTTTGTTTGTGTGTGTGTGTGTCCCATCTTGTCCTCGGGCCCGAGACAAAGCGCTCACGCAGCCATTCCCGATCTGCCGGAGCTCAGCGAGCAGAGCGATGAGTTCCAGGAGAACGGCGGCCGGCTGGTGCCTCCTCCGGTCTCTGGCCACATGGTCCCGTGCAGACCTGGCACCATCAGAACACCGTGCTGGTGTTGTTGTCAATGTTGTTAAGCGCTCTGGTTCTTAAATTCGGATGGAATATTTTGTTTTTTTTGTTTTTTTGATCTGCGTCATAGAATATCTGCATGTTTTGGATTGTTTAAGGGACTAATTGTAGAATATTTAGACTTCTATTATTGTCTTTGACCACCATCCTTAACATAACATGCATCCTAAAAAGTCACCCACAATTTTATTGAATATATTTTGATACTTAAAAAGTAAATGAGAAATGTCAATTTAAAAAAGGATTCAACCAATGAAACGGTACATTTATTTGAAACAATGACATTTCATTTGAAGGTCAGATTTGATCCTCAAACAACAGTGTGACTAAATCATATTTTTACTTTACTCTTTGTGTCAGACTTTTCTCCGACTGAATTTGTTTTTATTAAGGCAGTTAGAACCAGGACTTTAATTCTATTTCATTTCTTATGTTTCCACATAAAGTCCAGTATTTAAATAAAAAAATAAATGATTTAATTTAATACATCGGTAGAGTAGATACCTGCACCTAGAGAACACTTTACTCTTAGCTTTTGGTGAATCAGGACCATCCGACCATCAGAGCATTCACGGCTCTTTTAATCAATTAAAACTAACTACAAAATTCATTATTTTAATTTTTTACACCCACAATATTTATTCTATAAATTGTCCAAAAATATTAAAAATGCCCAGCAAGAGTTACAAGGAAAACTTAAATGATTTGCTGAACCTGCTTATTTTATGCCCCAAATATTTTCTGTTTAAGATCTAAGTTAGAAACAAAATTGTATTAAATTATTTGTATCCTCATTTATATTTTTATCACCCGTTTCAGCATTTATTCTTATTCTTTCTCTGTATATAAGTGGACTCTAGTTCATGTTTTAATCAGAGTGCAGAAATGAAGTCTGCTAGTGATTATTCTGAGGAAACAGGCTGTTGTCACACCTCCTGAGCAGTAAAAAGAACATCTTTTTTTATTTTAGCTGCTGTCTCAATAGTCTTGTTTACCTTCTTCTAGCATTTTTAAATGACAATCCTCGAGGTAAATGCCCCCCAGTGCCTCTTACACATTTGCACACGGGTGTTTTGTGGCAGGATCTCGTCCTTCGTGGATTCCCTTTGCTGAAGTGGAGTTCATGCACTTGTAGCCGTATTGTTTGAGCAGCGGCTGTGGGGGATTGGCACCACGTGTAATTGCAGTTCAAATCATCCGAACGGTTGCGCGAATGTTTTTAACACGAGACAAACACAAATAAAAATGTCAGATCGGTGCTCCATACTGCGTTGTTTGCTTGCCCCCTCACACACCCTGTCTTTGTTTTTATGTCTTCATTTCGGGGTCCAGGAGCACAACATTCACGGCTGGTGGGTCGGCGAGTTGAACGGCACCATTGGCATCGTCCCCAAGACTTCATGCACCCGGCCTACATCCTCTGAGCCCCGACAGGTAACCCGCGGCCCTCTCTTATCATCGCCACTACCGACCATTACCGGGGGCCCGATACATAGAAACGGTCCCCCCGGTGCTCGTCCGGGCCCCCATCAAGCGCACACTCGGCCGTTGACCTGCCGTTTGTGGCATCTGCTGGCTGGGAGAAGAACTGCTCGAGCGATGATCAATACGGGCGACGATCAATACGGGCAACAACAGCCTGATTGTCCTATTTAAGAAAATGACTCCACGATACTGTCAGATAGGCTCGGAATGAATGCTGAATTATTAACGCATGCTTTTATTTTACAGTGCCTATGAAGACGTGTCCAGCCATGAATTTCACAGATAATCTTTTGGGATTTGCAAACGATTCTCCCTCACGAGACTCCAACATGCATCGTGTAATGTAAGGGATTTTTCCAGCGCACTATTAATACCCTTCAATATTAAGTCACCCTACTCTGGCAAAATAGAATAAGAACATTTTGATAAATGACAGGAAAAGACTCTCAAGGGTGAAGATTTTGTTTTTCATTTTATTAAATCACTGACTAAAATTAATCTAAATTAGTTATCTTATTTATCATAATTTTAAAAATATTGTAATGCATCTTAGAAATAACTTAGTTGCCTCTCTAGTTTATAGAGTAATTATGGATTCATACATTTCATTCAGTGGTTAAAATGAGATTGTTAGTTGATTTTGCTCGATTCATTGTGAATACATTAAAACACAGATGTATGATTTGTAGAATATTTTACCATAAGTGGAGTTTTACACTTCAATATCCAAACATCCAGCCTTTATTGCTTGTGTGATTTTGTGTGTGTGTGTGGGGACATTAAACGGTTTCATCTGCAGCCACTAGGTGGCAGCATTGCTCAAACATCGAGTTGTTTGATAACTTATAATAAAATAAGCACTCACATGTAACAGTGAAGAGAAAACACTTTATTTGAAATAAAATCGTATTTACACAGACAGGTGTTCATGTTGTTATCCTTGCAGATCCAAGTTATAAATAAAAGGTCTCCTTCAAAGGGGTTAAAATCCCATAATAAAACTTAATAAAATTAGCCAAATACAATCATCTATTAGTGTAGAAAAAGAAATCCATCATCCACCCTGTATGAGGCGCATTTCTGTGTGGAACAGAATAAACCAGTGAAACTTGGTCCCTTTATTAAGCAACATTTATTTGAATCACAGGTAGGATAAGCAGTGTGTGAGAACAATGCGGCGATGGAACTGCATCAAATTAACTGGTGGCTGAATTCAGCACAGTGCACTTTGGGAAAAAGTGATCAATGCCGTGTATAAAAGTGATCAATGCCGTGTATACAAGCCACAGCCTTAACTTGTAGGGAGTCAGCCATTAAAAATAAAAACCGTAAACTAGCAGATGATTATGCACATCATCAAGATCACAAGACTTAAAAAGGTGTGGGTGTCTTTGCACAGGGTTCAGATTAGTCATCAAGATTAGTCAAACTAGATCAACAGCACCAGATGTTCTTCTCTCGCTCAACAGCGCCTACGAAACACAGTTCCTTTAATCCAAAGCAGTTACAGGACCTGTGGCCCGCGGACGCTTTTTTGAAAGCTTCATTAGCGGGACCAGTGACCTAAAACATTAAGAGGTTGAGGAGTGTCCCTTTCCCTCCTTGAATTGGACTCTTTGTCTCACTCAGACCGCTGACTCTTTCCTCGAGGTCTTCAGTACATAAAACAGGAACGAAAGCTTCAAGTCCACACAGTGAAAATAAATGCTTTAAAAGAAAAATGTGCATCTCACCTTCAGTTCCAGGGTTTAATTCTGTCATAATTTGCACACGTTCCATGGAACATAAATGGATTTGAGAGAAATCACATTGAACTAAAAATGAAAACACGCTGTATGTAAACACAACAATAAAACCTTTATGGATTAAAATAAACTAAAAACAGATGAGCCGTAAGATGCTTTTGTGAACTACAGCAGCCTCTGCTGTTGCCAGGAGGCCAAACGGCGCCCGCGGCAGAACAACAGCGCCTGTATTCACGTTACCTGAGTTAATGGAGATTTTAACATTAAATAAACACTTAAAACAAAAGCAGGTCGACGGAGAGGATCGGCCACGTTCGGACGGTCCTCTCTCGTGTTCCAATGTGCCTTTTGAGCAGACGACACCTCCCACAATGCACTGCTGCATCTCTGCAGTCTTAACCGACGCAGCCGCCCTCCAAGATGCTGAAGTCAGAGTTTTCGGTTAAATCTCCACCGCTCGGAGTAGAGTTCAGACCCAGAGATTTACCGGAGGCGCTGACGTCCTCGCGACCACAAATGTCCCGACCGTTTGTCGTGGAGTCCTCGGCTGGCGACCAGCGGCTGGCGTCCTCTGGAGGCGTCTCCGCGTAGCTGTTCGCGGCTGGGATCGAGTCCTCGCCAAAGCTTTCCCCGTCGCTGACCTCCACGATGCTCCCGTTGGAAGACGAGTGTCCGTCCACGGCCCCGTCCTGTGTGGCCCAAGAGCGATCCGCTGGGTCCGCTCCCAGAACGACGTCTTCGCCGCCGCCGCCCCTCACCTCCGGAGCGCCGGGCGCATCGAGAGTCGTCGCCTCGGCTCCTTTTCCGTCGTCTGAGTTGTTTGACTCCTCCGAACGGACCTCGACCTCCTCGGCGTCCCGGCGACCTTCAGCTTCGGAGGCGACGCTACTTTCTGAAACTCGCCGCCCAGAGCAGACGGCGGACTGAACTTCCTCCTCAGAGCGACCGCCACTTTCCGCGCCACGTTCCTCCCGCTCAGCATCCTCAGAGTGCAAAATGTCTGCAGAGTTTGCACATTCTTTGGGCTCAGATTCCACCTCGTTCGCCGTTGCTTCACTAGAACTTTCCCGTTGATCTTCTGGAAAAGGATCAGCCTCTTCTGCTCCATCCAACGCCGTGGCGCTCTCCGCTCTCCCAAAGCCCTCCCCCGCCGGCGAGTGCACCTCCACCGGCGTCTGGATGCTGGTCCGCGGGAGACTCTCTGAGGCCTCCTGTCCGTCACCCAGGAAGAAGACGGCCCCCGTCGGGCCGCGGTCCTGGAGGACGGCCTCCAGGCAGTCGTCGTTCTGCAGCACCTCAACCGAGGAGGTCTCCTTCTGCTGAAGCTCTACAGAGTCTTTAGCGCAGGACAAGAGCTCGGGGCTGAAGAGCTCTTTGGGTTGTAGACACGGTTGATGAGGAGCCGGGCTGTAGAGAAGAGAAACGGCCGTAGCAATTTATTTAAGCTAAAACAAAAGTCCACAAAGAACACGTTGAGGTTTCACAATTTCTATTTCTCCCTAATTAAATACATTAAAAAAGAAAAACTGCTATGGAGGGATTAAAACGTCATTCATTAGGCAACATTTGAAAGGCGTGTTGGTGCTGAACAACATCTGACTATGCAACACAAATATCTTTCTCCACAATGACCTTAAATACACTAAGCCGGAACAGTCCGAAGAGAACTGACGGTTTCCTGTCCATGTGGCACACGGTGGGAATCCCGCTCACCTCTCCATGGACTCGTAAGACACGCCGAGACTGGGCTCTTTGTTGGCGGCGGCGTCGTCCTCCTCCTGGGCCTGAGCGTAGCCCCGGTTGGACGAGGCGTAGGTGAGGATGGCGTCCGTCACAGAGTACGGCGTGTGGCCCTGCACGCAGTCCAGGATGTGGCCGACCGGCAGCTGCGTCTGCAGGAAGAGGTGCAGCTGGCTGTCCGACAGACACACCGTCATGTTCACCACGCTGCCGGGACAGAAACGTACGCGCCCGTTTGCACAAATTGAACATTTCTTACAGCAGACGGAATGTTTTACTTTAATTATTTTCTTTAAACTATAACGGACTTGTCCAAGAAGGCCTGAAGTCCTTTCCTCCTCCTTTCCAGGAAGTCCTCATTGCTGCTGAAGAAGAAGTACTTTCCAGGAAGTTCTGGAACTGGCCTACGAGGACAAAAACAGGTTTGTGCTGAAGGTTCTCTTTTACTAGACGACGCGCTGAAAGAACATCAGCCGCTCTCGCTCCTCGACAACTTACACCAAGCCGGAGTTCTTCTGCAGCATCTTCTTCAGCCAGACGAACTCACTGTAGCGCCGACGCACGCAGGACGTCTTGGCTGTGAAAGCTTTACTGTTGGTCTGTAAACAGAAGCGTATATGAGTGGAAGACGCCTGGTGGATTCGGACTCGATGCCGTAAACACCGTCCTGCTGCCACGAACTCACAGCAGCACAAACTGTGGATTCATCTACTCGCTGGAAATAGTCCCAAACTAACATACGTCCCCTCCCGTTTGAAAAGAAGCAGCATGGTTTTTAACTAAGACTGCTGCAGAGTTCAAAGCAGAACTAAAACATGGTCACGAGTCCGATTTGTTGACAAGCGGCCGTCACTCAGTCACACCACTTAAAAATAGCATAAAGTTCCAGCTTTTCAATGTCACTAGTTAAAGCTTTTCTTTGGGTTTTAGAGAATTTGTAGAACAAGAACGGGTGCTTTTTTTCTTTCCCACTATTCTGACGTGTTCTATACAACCTGCTGAATAGCCGATGAATGTGATACCTTGATGCACACTCACATATTGTTCAGACAAAGTATAAATGGAGCCATAGTGAGGCCTGTTTTTAAATTAGAAATGTTGGAGATGAAACCGTTCATGTGCAGGCTCACAGTTTGTGTCCAGACGTAACGCAGATCAAACCCCCCCAAAAAACAGCAGCACGTTGATGACAAACCTGCGTGACTTAAATTATGCCCGGTCACGTGATCTCGGGCAAATTTCACGAGTCGACACCCTCACAACATCCGTCCGGGCATGAAGCCTGGCCGCTGACACAGCGCTCTTCAGCACAACGACATCCTCAACTCCTCTAAACACATGATGTGAGGAATGCGGCCGCGCTGCCGGCGGCTCGCAGGGAGAGTTAAGGAGCCCTCATCGGGGGAGAAACGCTTTCTAGGAACGATTTGTTATCAAATATAATAAAACAATTCCTATATTTTCCCAAAAATGGTTAAGCATGCATCTGTCAGCCTCGAACAGCCCAAAGGGTTTTCTTCAAAATGTTAAGACTTTTCAGCTCCCATACGTGTTGATTAAAGGCATTAATACTCACATGGAGGAATATTTTATAATCCACATATGAATTCCACGAGCCTTCATTCTGCAAGCGGGGATCCTGAACCCGCACCGCCACAAACTCCTGAAGGACAGGAAGTTATATATAAATACTGTGTGCGTGTGATTCAGGATTGTGGTTAAGCCGACAGATCGCAGTTATATGACGAGACACGTTCCGCCTCCACTAGATCCGCTTTTGCTTTAAAACACATGAATGGAGGCGTTGTTCTCCGATAAGCAGAACTTTAGAAACGGTTATTTAGAGTCATCAAAAGGATAAGTCTCATTAAGTATTGATATTGGAAGAAAAAAAGAAAAGTAGCGGCTGGTTACTTACATCTTCTTCCTGATTGCAGATCATCTTACAGAGTGCCGCACTGCAAAGAGAAGAGGAATCGGTGAGAAACGGATCACATCGTCGCTCCTACAGTGTTATGAGCTGATGACTCATCCAAAGAGGAGATGGTCAGCGTAAATCCACCGAGTCACTCGGCTTTTCTCCTGACCGGAGGAGCGTTTAAAAAGAAGCCTGACCTCTGCTCGTTTCCATTTTTATAAATCTTATAAGATTTATTTGTTATTTGTCTATTCACACACGGCATGTTATATTGTGCTGAGCTACAGAGAGAAACTAACCAACAGAAAAATGGAGTGAAGTGTGGAAGTTATTTTACAAGAGGAACCATTAAAAGGACAATAGCAGTAATAAAAACATGAAAGAGCTTTATTAAATACAACCAGTAGTATACGTGACAGATGGCAAATTATTATTACTCTTTAAATATCGACATTCTGTTTTTCTACAGCAGACTATCAACCTAAACTTAAATAAATGACAAAGATGGGAATAGAGCAGATCCTCGCATTCAACTTATATCAAGAGGAAAAGTAACATTATCCTTAGAAGACTCAATGGTTAATCAATTATCACCTTGATGTTCAGATAATCGACTTACGGATCACAAACAGCTGATAATCAGTAACAAACTAAATTCTACCACCACGTGTTTCCCCTCAAAAACTTTTAAATCAACTTCAACATGTATTTCCCTCATCAAAACAAAGTATTCAAGCTATGACGTTTGATAATTTTGTGTTTCCTGACAGAAAATAACGAAAACTGTCACAGCGTGAAGACATTCAAGTTGACGCCGAAGGGAATTAAAGAGAACGTCAACAATTCAACCGCACACATAATTGACGCGTATCTTCACGAACAGTAAAAACAGCTCACGCTCACTTCGGCAGGACAAACCCGCGGCTAGCTCAGTGCTAACCACCGGCGCGCCGCTAACGACTCACTTTCCCGGAGATTTCGGGGCGATGCGTCGTTGTCCAACCGGCTGCCGGTCGCCGTGCGGCTGCCCGTCGGCTGCTTCTCTCCCCGCTCAAGCCCGCAGGTCCTCGGTGCGAGAGGCGCGCTTCCTGCTACCTGCTCCCGTCTCCATTTCGCAAGTCACAAGCCGCTGTTGCGTCACACGCGTCTGCTTCCGGTTGTTATTAAAGCGCGCGGGAGGGGCACGAGACCAATTCATTTATTTATGGAAACAATTTATCAATCAAGTGCTTATTTTTACCAAGTAATTCAGCTGAATCACGTTATTGGTAGACACACCTTCATAGCAAATTCCCTTCCTGAAATGTATGAATCTAACGTGAATTTATTCTTTTATAAGCAGTGATCTGGCGGAGTCAGTATTCTGAAGCATTAGGTCAGAATTATGAAAATATTAATTCGAAAGTATCAGGGTAACTATATATGTGGTCTCACTCATAAGATATTAAGTCCTTATAATGGGGTATCGATATATCTTACTATAAATAAAGGAATGTGTGTGTGTGTCATTTTATCTCACTCTGCTCAAGCATGTTGTAAATATAATTTAGTGTAGATATGATTTGTGATGGGGGGTTATTACAGGGTTTGTGCGGTCCAACGTTTACCCCTCTGGTTGGAAAAAAGACCCCCCCCCCCCCCTCCCCCTGGTCTCTGTCACAACAGATCTACACATCACATGCGGCTCTGAATGCAGCAGTGAGTAAATCCACATGATGTAGAGCTCTGTGAAAAGGGGCGGGAACGACCCGGTTGCCTGTAATTCACCTACCGGCTGCGTTTCCCTGGCAACAGCGACGTTATTTCAATTTTATTGCGAGCCGACGACCGTCGTGTCATTCTGTATCGGCTCCAGGTGGAAGTTTAAAAATAAATTCAGCTGCAAGTCGTCGGTGAGTTTGAATTCTATTTCCTAATTCACACCTCCTCCCTTGAATTAAACGTTGTCAACGGCTGCTTCGTGACGCGTTTCACGTTAATAACCATAGTCGGCGGACGTCGCGGAGGACGTTACATGAAGTTGACAACACAAAAGCAACATGGAGGTCTGTCGCGGTCCCTCCGAGGCTTTCCTCCCCGCCGCTGGGCTAGCGTTAGCCTCAGGGCCCCTCAAGCTAAATGGGATGCGTTCACACCGATGAACGTGACGTCGTGCCTCTGCCGCCAGGTGTTGCACATCTGTAGACGATTGATGCTGACACCTGTAGGTTCAGCCATGGTACGGTTATTATTAGTATGATTATTATTGATAATACACAAGTGAAGTGACCCTCAACGGTGAACACAGCTGATTCAGTGACATGTTGTTAACCCGCCTGAATGTAACTAACGGTTAACGTTAACGTAATGTTGATACTACTTTTCTATTTCTTTTCTGCATTACATTTCAGAGGGAAACGTTAAATTGTTTACTTCCCTGAAAGCTTTCTTAGATTATGTGATGTAGTTGTGTATTTTTTACCTTTTATACTTTTTTGAGTACATTTTCCTTATTATAATTGAATTATTTTACTCAAACAATTTCAATCAGGCGGCACGGTGGCGTGGTGGTCAGCACTGTTGCCTCACAGCAAGAAGGTCCTGGGTTCGATTCCGCCCAGTGGCCTTTCTGTGTGGAGTCTGCATGTTCTCCCCGTGTCTGCGTGGGTTCTCTCCGGGTTCTCCGGCTTCCTCCCACAGTCCAAAGACATGCTCTGGGGATCAGGTTAATTGGGGACTTTAAATTGCCCGTAGATGTGTGAATGTGAGTGTGAATGATTGTATGTCTCTGTGTAGCCCTGCGATTGGCTGGCGACCAATCCAGGATGTAACCAGGATGTAACCTGTCTATCGCCTGAAGTTGGCTGGGATGGACTCCAGCCCCCCCGCGACCCTGTGTGCAGGATAAGCGGTTTGACGATGGATGGATGGATGAAACAATTTCAATGCTACAAAGCTTTCTTTTTGTATTAGTACTTTTAAGAACCGCAAATACAACATGTAAGGTGATTCCGCAGTGCAACAGACTGCCGGTGGTCTCCTGTACTTCACACTGAAACCCATCCTGCATTCTTATTTTTCTCCTCTCTGCCATATATTGACTCCCGCCTTTTCCTCCGTCCCGCTGCCTCCTTGACGTTGCCCAGGAACCTGCTGGTTCCCAGGTCTACCTGATGAGTATGAGCCTGACCACAGAGCCCCCTAACGATGTTCCTGCCGTTACACAAGGTTTCAACGTCTTACTCTTCCAACGCATAAATGTCTCCGTGTCACTTTTGTCGTTGCGTGAGATCGACCAGATGAAGCCTGCGATAACACGCAAACGTCTTTACATCTGAATATGAACCGTGCGAGTCTTCAAGGCCGTTTAAAAAAGGGGGGCCAGTTGCCTTCAGGATCAGAGTAACTATGTGCCGTGTTCTGACCCGTCAGAGCCAGAGAGCAAAATGGCCGCAGTCGAGAAGGACAAGAAGCCGGATGAAGTGGCGGAGGAAGAGGAGGAGGAGGAGGAATACGTGGTGGAGCGGGTCCTGAACCGGCGGGTGGTGAAAGGGAGGGTGGAGTACCTCCTCAAGTGGAAAGGCTTCTCTGAGTGAGTGTCTCTTCGCCCCCGATTCACAGGGCCGTCTGGATCAGAGACAAGTCAAACACTTTGTTTTTACGTGTCCGCAGGGAAGACAACACGTGGGAGCCGGACGACAATCTGGACTGTCCAGATTTGATCGCCGAATTCCTGCAGTCGCAGAAGTCGGCACACGACGGGAAGAGGAAGGCAGCCGGAGACGCCGAAGGAGACGAGAGTAAAACAAAAAAGAAAAAAGACGACGTGAGTCACCGACTGTTTTTGTCAGTGGGTCCCAAGCAGCCAAGACAGAAGTCTTCCTCTGTTGAAGGATGCAGTCTACGGGTCTGGCATTTAGACACCACTGTGAGTGTCATCAGCAATAATACATGTAGTACTATACTGGACTTCCTTATTACTGCCTTACTTTGGGATCAAACAACCCCAATCAAGTCCACGTGTGTGGCAGTGGGCCAAAGCTTTAAGTTCTAGTCATTTTCTAACCCGTTTAGTAATGAACCCTCGCTGTTACCAGCCTCCATAAAGGGAGGGGATGATGCTTCCCTCTGTTTTGGGCTGCTGGTGGCCATAAAGAACATTTAGAGTTCACGCTGAAGCGTTGTTTCGCGCTGAACCTGAAGTTGTGTTTTGTCGTCCGCTCCTCAGACAGAGAAGCTCCGGGGCTTCGCTCGAGGTCTGGATCCAGAGAGGATCATCGGCGCCACGGATTCCACCGGAGAGCTCATGTTCCTCATGAAATGGTTCGTATGAAGCGCATAGAAACGCGACTGCTGTCACAAGTCCGGGTTTGATGAGGATTCAAATGTGTGATTGTGAATATTTGCCCGTAAAAGTAAGTCAAATCTGTTTTCGGTGTCGGTCGCAGGAAAAACTCAGACGAGGCTGACCTGGTGCCGGCGAAGGAGGCCAACGGGAAGTGTCCGCAGGTGGTCATCTCCTTCTACGAAGAGAGACTCACTTGGCACTCGTATTCCGCGGAGGGTGAGAAAAAAGAGGAGAAGAACTAACACGTGGGGAGAGAAAAGAAGATCGGTAGCTCTGAACTTGGTGGTACCTTCCGGATGGTGGAGCATCACTCGTCTGATTCTACTCGTATCTGGATGTTATCAAATTGTTTGTATGCTTCAGGTTGACAGAACCCACGTGGAACGTAAAGCGCAGTGTTGGTTTTCAGTTGTAAGTCCCCGGTCGACTTCATGTGGTCCACACACCCGTCCTCTCGCTGCGACATCGTATCAGTGAGCTGAACCTATTATTCCATCTTGGTGCCTTTTTTAAATATTCGGTTCATTGGTGCTTTTGGAGTCTGAACTGTTTCCGTTTTAGCTGTTTTGGTGTTTAGATCTTTGGAGAGTTTTTCATTGTCACCTGATGCTTGTCGCTTTTTGGAGAATAAATCATGTCTTTTGTTACTTTTCTGTTTATACCGTTTTCCCTTTTAATATTGTGGGATTATTATCCACCAGGGCTGCAAATGACCGCCAGTTAGTTTCTCCGTCATAAGCTAATGTTGCCAAATCCCTCCACAAACATTAAAAGAAATATGCATTTTACGCAACAAAAAAGTTGATACTCGCCCCCCCAAGAAAATGATACCAAAATTCCTGGCAATTTCCTTCCTGAAAATTCCACGTTTCGGTAATCTTTGCACATTCACAACTCACTCATGACAACTAGAACACAATAGTCACAGGTGAAAATAAAAACACTTTATTAATCAATAAAAACAATTCTTGATTGCCGGCAAAATATCTGAAAGAAGGAACTACATCCAAACTGAAAGCAGAGGGTGAGACCGTCGTGGAGACATTTGACAAACTACAGAAATCATGACAAACACGAAAATATTTACATAACAAGACAGACAAAAATAAAAGTGCACTAAGTAGTAGCAGTACTTCGGTGTCGCACTGAAGTCAATGTTAACCAGAGTTTCATGCCTGAATATCACGTTTAATGAGGACATCTCTCCTTTGAAAAAACAACTTTTTTTGGACATCATGTTCTGTTCTGCTCCGGTAAATATTCTAACCTATCGCAGCTGAAACAACCTTTTTTTTTTCTTCTTTTTTTTAAATTTTTTTTTACTGTTTCTAATAAGAGGCCGATGTTACACTTACTGACAAAACTTCATTCAGATAGACGAGTAATAGCACTTCTACTCTGAGAACGACCTCCTCCAGTTCTCAAAACATTTAAAGTGAAAGATAATGAGATTGTGAAATAAAGGCATTTCAAAATTAAAGTGGCCACAACACTCATTTCACGCATTCAAATAACTTCTTTTTTTAAAATCTCATGTAACAACTTGGCTCACTTGATCAACAACACAAAAAAAACCACACCGAAGGACTTAGCTTAACATCTGTCGGGCTTTCAGCAGGGGAACGTTGGCAAATGAGTTCATTCAAAAAGAGACTTTGCTCCACCACAGAGACAACCGAGCCTGTTTTTAATTAGTGCCCTATGAAACGAGGCGCCCGAGAGAAAAAGGAACAGAACAAAAGCCCAAATGATGCAGTACTGTGATCGGTGGCAGCGTCCTCCCCTTTCTGATTACAGGCTCAGCGTGACGTTCGACGAAACAAACAGAAAGAGTGTAGACTTTTTTTGTACATAAAGCTGATGTGACCTATACCCTTGCTTATACTACAGATTATGAACAGTTAATAGGAGCCTTCCTTAACGCAGCTCCCGTACTTAAACCTGCAGCGAAGGAATAGCGGCGGACGCGGCAAAATGCATAAAGCCAAAGCCTTTTCAAAGACAAATTACAGGGCTATGTATAATTTATAAGGAAGTTGATACATTTTGCAATGCAGTGTGACTCCTCCCTAAGACATCCATCTTCTCCTCTTGCAGGACTTCACCTTTTTTCTGTTTTTCTTTTTTTTTTTTTTTTTAATAGCAGCGGCCAGCCCAGGAATCCTCAGCCTCCGACCCTCTCTTGTCTCAATAACATCCTCCGGTCCACACGTCAACACCCCCCCCCGTTCCCGGCGCCCTTTTATCTAGGCTCAGACGCCGCCGAAAGGGCCGACTGGGCGTGGTAAGGTGGCGGCGTGCTCCGTGCGACCTTTGGTTAGTAAAGGTGTTAGTGACCTCCTCTCTGCCTTTGGTAAACTGAACTCTCACACACCGTAGGCGCCGTTCTTCGCCTAAACGTTTGCTTAACTTAAAAGCCTCGGTGACAAAAGAAGTGACTAAAAGTCTCCAGGGTGGGACGTGGACCTCCGGTGCATAGGTATTCCAACCGTCCTCGTCGACAGTGTTCTTATACTCCCGCTTGTCCCCTCGTATCGACCTTACGAATGTCCTCCATCCTGAGCGGTTTTCCGTGCAAAAAAGGATCGTGAGCGGCTGATTCATTTTTCCCAAATAGCTCATTTTATGTCCTCCCGCGTTCCACGTCCTCGCTTATTGTTTCCCCCCCAGTACCCCCAGTACTCACACGAGGAGCTACTTCTGCTTCAACGATGTTTCCAGGGGGGGAAAAAATTGTCGGAACCGAATGAAAGGGGAGAAACTAATGCAGGAGGAGCAGTCAACAACGCTTCTTCTACTCGCCAGAATCTTCTCAACGAAAAAAAGGACACCTCTTGCATCTGCAGAAATCGTTCTCATTGATTTAGCAAAGTGATAGAATAAACAGCAGCTTGCCCCCTCCCGCTCCCCCCTCACTTCTTTTTGTCTTTTTGTTTTTTCTCGGGCTTGCGGTGCTGCTCGCCGGTGGTCACGCCGCGGGGCATGATGAGCACGCTGCCGTCGGCGCTGTACTGCAGCGAGTACTCGCTGGGCGGGTAGGGGCGGCCCTCCTCGTCCCGCAGCTGGGTGAACACCTCCTGGTACAGACTCTGCATCTTCTGCTTCATCTGCCGGATGGAGCGGATGAACTCCATCTTCTCCTTCAGCAGGCGGGCCTTGTCGCGCCGCAGGTCGTGGACGCCCTGCTCCAGGTTGATGATGGTGTCCAGCTTGCGCTTGCGGCAGTTCTGGGCCGCCATCTTGTTCTTGCCGCGCCGGCGGATGTCGCGGATGAGCGCCATCTGGCCCTCGCTCAGGTGGTGCTTGGCCAGCAGCTCGTTGAACTCCTCCACGGGCAGGTTGATGATCTTCTCGTTGGAGAAGGGGATTTTCATGGACCGGGCTCGGCGCTCGTCGCGACTCGCGTGCTTGTCGAGCAAATCCTGAGCCGGCTGGAACTTTGAGTGTTTGTCGCGGACGCTCTTCTTCCCGTCGGCGAGGGGGAGCTCCGGATGCTCGGCGAACGCGGAGGAAAGCGGCAGGTTGTAGGTGTGATTGTGGCCGATGCCGCCGAGCTGAGGCAGGCCGTGGAACTGGGAGGGGTCCTGGTAGCTCATGCGGCACAGCTTGCTGTAGCCGGGCTGAAAACCACCGACGGCGCCTTCCTCGGCCTCCACAGCGGCCACCTCCGAGTCGGTGCTGTAGCCCACGGCCCCCTCCTCGGAGAAGGTGGCAGACGTCGACGACGAAGACGCCGCAGAGGAGCAGGAGGTCTCGGAGCTGCTCGGGGAGGCCGGGCTGTGGCTGGAGTCCAGGGACAGGCCGGAGTCAGAGTCGAGCTCGTCCTCCAGCTGCGACGCCTGGGCCTGGCTGAAGCCCTCCTCCATGGCGAGGTCCAGCAGGCTGATCTCGTCCAGCATGGACTCCTCCAGCAGGTTGCTGAACGGGTCGGGCAGGAGGGGCGTGGACGTGATGTTGGTGCTGGAGCTGTTGATGTGCGGTGGGACAAAGATCCCCGTCAGGTTGGTGGCTCCGAACGTGGAGTTGATGTTGCTGGAGTTGCTGGAGGAAGGTCTGAGCATGGTGGCCCTCGGGGCGATGCTAGCAAGGTCCAACTGGGGGTTGAAAACCTCGGGGAAGTCCTGGCTGCAGCTGGGGAGGGAGGCCTGGTGGAGGCTGACGTCCTGGTTTACGGGCGTCGGCCCGGTCGAGGGTCCAAAGTTCCCCGCGTCGTTGGACTCCGTCGTCCCGCTCGAGCCACTGTCACTGCTGGAGTTGCTGTGTGGCGAAGAGCTGTTCACCTCCATTGCCTTTGAACACAACAACACATTTGGTTAAATATACATTTCTCATATTAAAAAGCATATTTTTGTGCGAAGAAATCCACTTTCCCACAGTAACGTCACAAAAATGTCTTTTTCCCCCGAGTTCCCAGGCAACAACTTGATGAAACTGCTTAAAAAAGGACGTACTTGCAGCTCCATGATGGCCATGATGTCTTGCCACTGCTGCTCCAGGTCTAACTGCGGCTCCGCGGGGGCCAGCTGTGGCGCCAGAGGAAGGCCCTGCGACGTGGAAGGAACTTCCTCATTGGAAACGTTTTCTGTGGTCACAACCGGGGCTGCAAACTGTTTGAAAACATTATAAAAGCTACAGTAACAACAAACAGCTCTGTAGTGTTTTTACACACCAGCAAAAAAAGATCACACATGCAATGCGTGTGTAATGTGTCCGTTTCACTTTCTACCTCAGATTCTTCTCCAAAAGGGAAAGTTGCCTCTAAAAGCCTCAAGCATTCTTGTAGAGAAAGGGACGTCTGTGAGCCAAGACCTGGGATCTGGGTGACAACGACAAAACAGACGCTCTTGTGACTAATTGGCCCGACGTGGATGACCACGATGCTGAATGGAGTGCTAGAAGGCGTCAGCAGGCCAGCTCTTAACTCAAACATTTTCCGCCTGCTTGTTCCGGCGAGACGCAGTTATAGATCTCAAACTGCAGTTCCTTAAGCCGTGTTAGAACTTGAGAACCATTACATCTCCACACGGAGACTAGCCGCCTGTTATTATTACTACTTGTGTGATGTGACCCATCGCCTACATGTCAACTGCCCCCCAATCCCTACGTATCTCTGCAGATCAGACGCCTCACACACTTCCAGTCAGTGATGAGTGATGGTGGTGCATACAGTTCAGCTACTGTTGTCAAATCAGACAATTCTGACCAATTTCTGTATTCATAAAAAGAAAAAATACCAGCAGTGGATAGTATCTGTGTAGATCGGAGGAGTACCGAGATTAGATTCATACTTCATGAGGTTCTGAGTGACGACTGTACCAATGGAAAAAATCTCTTTGGTGTTAAGCCCAGAAGTAAATGTGATTTACTTCATAACAGCATCAGCTTGGTTTGATCTTGATGCTCTTCTCTGAGGGCGAAATGTACCACACCCCCACCAGATGAAACACAAGGCTATCAAAATGCATTTAGTCTACAAACCTGCTCCGGGATGCTCTCTCCGGTCTCCCCGTCCACGGGCTGAGCACCTTGCAAGTTTACTCCGTTTCTCCAGCTCTCCTGGTCCTCGTTCCCGTCTTTTTTCTCGCTTGGGTTGCTGGGCTTCTCCTCTTCGCTCTCCTTCTGACGGTTGCTGTAGTTGAACACTTCTCTTCCCGCGCCAAGGTCGATGTCCTGCCTCCAGAGGATGTCAATCAAGTCAATATCCTGCAAGAAAATACATAGCAACCATTGAAAAATGGCCCTGTGTAGAGAAAAGTTACTTTAATAACCAGGTATGGTGTAGGCATTCAATCTGTTGAACTATTACTGTAGGTAAAGATGAACGTGAGCCGTTTTTGATCTTTCACTTATTTACGATAATAAACAAGTGCTTACTTTGTTTATCTCTTATAAAAGAATGAGTCACACCCCTTTGTATGAGTGTGGGTAATTTTGGCAGATCAGGCCACAGAAACGTAGTCAGATGATGCAACCATGACGAAACCCATTAACACGGTGGTCATCATGTGAGTTCTTTACTCTCCAAAAAAGTCTTTGTGTGACACATTATGTGAATGTTTTTTCAAAGAAGCAAATAAATCAATAAATCACACATAAAAATATGAATAAATGTCAATATCAAAAACAGCTGAGTGACAGATTTCCTTTTGTTTAGAACCATTAAAAAAAAAGGTAAGATCAAGTTAAAATACTTTTTGTAGGATTTAAAAATTGGTAAAACACCTCTCTGATTACATAGTTGACATCTGCCAACATCTGGGGCTTATTGTTCTCAATGAAAGATTGCTTTACCACTAAATTTGGCCACCTGAACATGAAAACATTATTTAAAATCGTGTTTGCCAGTTAGTGTGTGAGTGGTGGCGACAAGCACCTGTCAAAAAGAGGCCGTATGTCCCCTCTGTGCCCGTACTGAAGAAACAAGCGGCAGTACCTCTTTGCTGAGGTCGTCGTTGGCGTCCCTGCTGCCCTGCTCCTGGTTTCCCTCGGGGGCCACGGCCCCAAGGCTGCTGTCCGTGGATTCAGGGGCTCCACTTCCTCCCCTCATGGCCGGGGTACCGTCAGGGTTGTTGACGTCCTCTAGGCCGCCCCCATTGTCCAGGGTGATGCTGGGGCTAGACTGGGTACTAGTGGACACCACAGTCTCGGCGTCACGGTGCACCAGCCAGGTGTTGAGCTCTGTACTGGGCACGGAGAGGCGATCCAGTTGGCGCACCTGGTTCAGCAGTCGCCGAGTGGTAAAGAATTGGTCCAGGTCCACACTCTTTGGATGGATGCCATAGCCGTCCAGGGTGTTGCGCAGGTTGTGAAACTGTGTCTGGGTGTAGGCTGAGCTCGGGCCCAGGATGATCTCTCTCAGTGGGGGCAGCTGGTTGCTTAGGTAGGTGTCAACATCCACCCGCACCCCGATGAGACTCAGAAGGATGGTGAACTGAATCAGGCCCTCTGTGAAGTATTTTTTCAGGTAAAGCATTTCTTTACAAAAGGAACAAAAGGTGAAATTAAAAAAGGAAAAAACAAAAACGGGGCCAACTCGCGTGAATCGATACTTCTGTACTCGTACGAGAAGACGGACACATGAGCATAAAAAAAAAGTGGTTGCAGAAGGGGAAAGGGACTTCAACAGGATGCTGTTTGTTTAAAAGGCATGTGGAATCCAAAATGGATTTTCCACTCTGAGAGTCCAGTTTGTTCTCAAAGCTTTGTTCTTCATTAGGTTCTTCTCATCTTCCCATTCCTGGCAAAAGTGATAAATTGCATTTTATTGCTCCGCTTTAAACCACATCAGTTCAACGTTACAATCACACTGATTTCAAACCTACCTACATTTGCATTAAATCCATGTTGACCACACACGCACACGCACACACACAAACAAAAAAATCAGGACTTGCTAGCAGACTGCATCCACTCCATCCTTCCAAAGTACAAAGAAGTGATGGCGCAATGCCTTGAGTAAAAAGAAAAATCAGCAGACCCGAGATGGTGAACGCAGAGCTCTCGGCATCACGCTACCCTTGACAGGACAACTACTTCTAGTGGGCGCTGCTGAAGGTGAATGGGAGAGGAAGGCTAGCAGCAGCCACAGCGCTAGGTAGCGGACAGGGACCCTCCCTCCGCACGCACAGCTGCGCCTATGCTCGTCCTTATGACGTTAGCCATTTGACGGCTTGTGTTTTGAGAACCGGCTAATGCTATTACACGTCAATAACCACCTTGTTATACAACGACATAGCGTGATGCCACGTTAGCTTGTCACCTCGCGTCTCTTGTTTACCCTCGAAAGTGACAGGTACCTCCGCTGGTATTTGGGCTAGCATCTAGCAATCTCCCTAGCAACAAGTGGGGAATGAGGTGATCGACAGATTGCGTAGCCATTCGCAAGCCTTAAACTCGGTGATGACACATGACTCCAGAAAACCCCGACCAATAGAAATCGCGAGTGGGTGGAGCTTAACTGAAAGCTGTGTTACAATTGGAACCCAAAGCCTACACGGGGCTAACCTTCTAAGCTAGTTCACCTGCTACTCCCTTAAGCATTCAACTACTTTTAAAAGTAACTTACGTATTATACAAGACAAGCTCCCGTATCCAGTCACTCAGCCATAAATAATGTTTATTTATCTACGCGTATGTTAACGTTAACTCGAGCCACGAATCACCGCAATACACCTATCGGCTCACGCAATATCACAGTAGTTAATTGATTTAATACTCACGCATGATTTGGCAGGTTCGTCTTCATTCATGCCCAAAAGTAGACTACTCACACCTAGGAACATTAACCGAGTGCCGTTTCATTAAAAGTTCCGCGTTGTTGCCCGATGTAGCGTTCTCCAGCCTTTCCTCATTGAATGGCCCACCATGACTTGCAAAATGGCTAGCTGGCCCGGCTAGCATAGCATTGAGCACCACTTGACACCAAAACACGCTTCCACACTACGCATGCGTAGAACATTCTAGTAGAACGCTGTCATCGCCCTGAAAATCCCCCGCTGATAATAATACACACGTACACTAAATGTTATCACATTTTTAAAATACATTTATTAGTTATTAATTTAATTAAAAATAAATGAACAATTTTACAATTGTTTTATGATTCTGTGGTTGAAGTGGTGGAAGACGTATTTAGGTATTTCAGTTTACTAATACTCAGTTACAAGTAAAATTTCATTAAACATTTTAATTCAGGAAAAATGTTATAAACATTGAAGAAAATCAGCAATCAGCAAGAAAATCAATTTTAAGCTGTGTGAAGTTATTGCCAATCGACTAATTTTATTTGGTCGATTTTATTAGTGCAAGTATTAAAATCATATTTTTCATATATTCCTATTTAAATAAGTAAATTACCGTGTTTACAATACAAAATGTGTGAATATGATTCCTCTGTAACTTAAGAAGGATAAATACTCCTTGTATGCAAAAAATGATTTGCATCCTTCCTTACTATCTGTTTATATTTACTTTTTTAATATACTTATAAGGTTAATATAGGTTTGATGCATATTACAAGGAAGTAAAAAATAGGTTTAGAGATTTAAATATAATAAAAATATCTATTCACTAAAAACAGGTTTAACAAAGTGTAAATATATACATATATAGTGGGTGGATACATTTATCACAACTGGATAAAGCAACATTTAAACAAAATAATTTATTTCATCCAATTTAAACCTAGTAAATGTAAAGAAAACACAAGACTTGAACATAAATACCACTTTTATTTTGACATCTGGGATTGTTCATTATATATTAACCCCCATTAGGTTGACCGGCCTTTTGTGGTATCGCTTTGAAATGTCGGCTTCAATCTGCAAAAACAAACAATCAGAATTACTGGAAATAATCCAAATAATACATGCCAATTACTCAGATGTATATTATTACCAGCCCTCTGTGCAATATGTATTCTTTGAAAATAATCCTCACTGTATACCAACATATACATAACAATTTTATGACAAATGTTTACTGTAAGAGAATATCAAAAGCACAATTCTCTCTCCTTCTCTTTCTAGGAAATTGGAGAACTGCCAGCCTAGTGAACGTAAATAAAGTCACATGTTAACCCACTACCATTTTCTGGAGTTCCCTGGTGCGTCCCGCCAGCAGGTCGACACGAGGCTCCAGTCTGGACTGCTCCTTCAGGGCTTCCTGTCTTTTCTCGACCATCGTGGCACCTTTCAGCACCAGAATGTCTGCCTGCTTCAGCTTCTGCCTCAGCAATTCTGACACGCGTTCAACATACCTGCACAACACGCAGTCACACGCAAAACACAACCGTGAGTCAATGCAGATCCAACGCTGACCGAAAGCCACGAAGACGGGGGTGAGGCGTGGCAAGGTTACCCCGGCGACGCCTGGATGGTGAACAGGTGCTGCATTCGGAGGGAGGTGAGGCGACCCAGGAGGTCCAGCACCTGGGACAGCATCTCCTGCACATGCTGGCGGGTTTGGCGTTGGATGATGGAGGGGGCCATCTGGAACTGGCTCATCGCCACCACGTCTCCGTCCTCTCCCATCTCAATCACGCGCTGCGTTAAGAACGTCTCCAGCTGAACAAACACGGAAGCCTCGGGTAAATCTGACTGATCTGTAATGAATACTGTACAGAAATAGTACTCCCAGAACCCCAGCGAGTTAAAAACAAATACTGGGACTCTTCAACTCATGTTTGTCATAAATATAAATATGAGTTGGTTTTGAAGTTGAACATGTAAATATGTTGAAAGGCTACAGAAGCTTGCACATAGACTGTGAATAAACGTGGGTTGAGTTACCCATTTGTTTGTGGACATCGCCATGTTGCTTATTTTTTGTTTCTTTAATGCAAGTGACCCTATTTGAGCTGCAAAGAAGTGAGGTCATGGTAGAAATGTTGTATACGGCTCTGCTGGCGGTAGCAAACTGTCAATCAGCATGTAGCCCCGCTCTAAAGCATCCCCTGCTTTATGGTCTATTTGACTCTTAAGTGGAAAATAATTTGACTGGTGGACATTGAACACAAAGCAGCTTTGAGAGACTTCAGCGTTGGCCTCACAATTCATAACCGCTCACATAAAGAGTTAGATAAGGGGGATTGTTTTGTATATAGTTCATTGCTTATCCATGCTTTACAACTTGGGGGGTAGTAGTCCAGTCTGCTGGTGCTGGGTTGCTTATTTGCACATTCAATCATTCAATTATTATTTGTTTTGTCTTATTTCAGCCCAACATCTGCTCCCTTTGCTGCGTTTGGTCAACTCCAGAGGGACGTATCTGTCTAAATGTCATGTCATCATCTAAAAGCCTGTTTTTGGACTAGGATCCCAAAAAAGATCAAGAAGTAATCGACACTAGATGACCAGCTTACCTCCATTAGTTCGTCAATGAACTGGTTGCGTGACTGAGGGTTCTCCAGTACAGATAAAGCATCGTCTCCTCTCGCCACACCCTCTGGACCTGGAAGAAGACACACCCGCGGCTTTAGCAAACAGAAAAATGGCAAAAGCTGAGCTTGTGATAAGCATGAGCATGAGTTACAGTCTGAGCCTGCGTCCACAATTTCAATGTCTATGGGAGCTGCTTCGCTGTCGCCCCAGTCGATGGCACCGGAGTCCTGCTGAGGGGGGCACACGCAGTCGTATATTAGAGCTTGAGTTCCACAATTATAATTAAAGTAGGTATCAATATATATATTCTCTACAAGAGATCCGACCAAGTATTGCATATATTATTTCTGTGGATACTTAATTCATCTAAATATCTACACATGATAAGTTATAAGGTGAATATCAAAAACAACTCCAGATGCGTAAAGGTGTCTCACATCAAAGCTCGGCTCCAGACTGATGCCCCAGTCTATTCCATCCTCAACTTTGATGGCAGCATTAACACCGGGAGCAGCTGCACTGGCACCAAAGTTTCCCCAGTCAATCTAAACCAGGATACATAACAAATACTGTAAGCCGGCAGATTGAAAGTTAGTGTATTTATTTGGCCTATTCTGGTATTTGTTATTAATTCAAAGCAGCACATGAGAGGGAATCTTAAACTAGATTTTTTACTGTGATAACGTGTTTGAAAAGAATAACAAAACAAGATGAATTGAAGAAGTAAGAAGAATTTATCATTTAGGAAAAAAGACAACGTTAATATTATACGGCCTGTGATACTATGATAACTTTTATATGGAAACAGTAAAACCAACCGAATCCTCTGCGAGGGCATCAGGAGGCGCTTCCTCCACCACCACCGGCCTCTCAACGACTGTGGGCGTTTTCCCCGTTCGCCACTCGAAGAACGTGGGGTTTCCTTTTTTCTGGGCAAACGCCAGCATCGGCAGAACCGGCTCGGACCTACAGACGACCGCGAGCAACACAAAGCCAACATGTTCTAAGACGACTACGTTCATCACCAGGGCCTATTCATTTATTATTTATCATAATACACAGGACTGTATTTTTAATGCTTACCAATCGCACACAAAGTGTGTGAAAGCAGTGTAAAGTTGTATTTGCTGCTCTAACTTTTCTGCGTCTTTCCCGACCTCCTCCAGAACCGCCGGCAGGTCTTTGACCAGAGCCTGCAGCTCGCGGGCCACGTTTTCTCCCTGCCAGAGTTGGGGGAGAAATGTAAAGAAAAACAACCATCGAGCGAAGGCGGGAAGAACGCCGAGGTGCAGCGCAGTCCAGTTTCCGATAATCTTGTGTTTACCGTGATGCCGTACTGTTTGCAGGCTGCGTAGTAGCGCTCCCTCAGGTCTGCGGCGGAGGTCTGGCACTCCACCTCCCGCCTGCACAGCTCCTGCTGCAGCTGCTGGGCTTTGGCCAGCTGCTTCCTCAGCGCCGGGCCTTCGTAGCTCACGTTGCGACTCAGCAAGCTGGCCGCCTCCGCTGGGACACACAGACATTGTTCATGCAATTATTTATTTTTCTATTTGTGCTCTTCTCTTATGTCCTATGATAAAGATGCTGAAATAACCAGAAGAGCAGCAACAACCGCAAAAAACGTCATGGTTAGCAGGTAGCAGATCAGCTCGTTAGCCAATAAAACCCAGGCGGTTTGAATGGTGTGTACAGATGTTGTCATTATATGACTAATTACAAAGAGACACTCACCCAAATAGATATTATCAGTCTCATAAAGGGAAATAATCTCTTGCCAGTCCTGTGACAACAAAAACAGAAATCAAATAGAATCAATAATCAAATATATTGTTTAGGACAGTTTTAGAGCAAAGGAATGTCACACGAAGAAATAGAAACTGAGAAACTCATCTGCTCACCTTCATCCTCTGAGATGAATACCTCCCGAAGATGTTCTTGGAGGACGCCTCGGTCCCCTTCAGTATCTCCACTATCCTCAAGCAGTGGAAGTAGTGAATGTCTTTCAATAAAAAACAAAACAAAGAAAATTCATAAGCGTTCATCCAAAGGATACGGAGCAGGCGGACGGAATAACAACTGAAAGTTGTGCTACATTACATAATAATGCACACTAAACTAAAACAGCTGAGGGCTGAAGCTACAAAATAAATGTGTGCTTGTAAATTTTTAGGATGCAGCAAATGCCATCTTGAAAAATAGGAACTTCTTTCACAAGCCATAATTTACTTAATAGAAAATCACTTACGGATTTAAGTGTATCTCAAGTATCCTCAAATAATATTTACCATTTAGTTTCTTCAAAATAAATTTGAGTAAACGGCAGACAGAGAGCATTAATATGAATAAAATAAGTCATGGCTAAAAACTGAATATACATTTCTTGTCTAGTGATACTTCTGTGAGGCCAGGAGCAAATACAACTTTACACCGCTTTCACACACTCCCCCCTGTGTGTTATCAGAACTTCAGTGCGCTTTGATGACAAAGCCAAGCTGACCAATGCGAGCTCTTTGGTGCAGGTGAGCGATCCCCGCTAACCGCCGCCGGTCCGCAGTGCTCAGGTACGGTGCTTACAGACAAGTCAGGTAAACACTGTTTGCACTGCTAGCTTTTAGCCATCTGTTAGCTGCTACCATCTTGAGAGCCATATGGAACTTTTGTCGGAAGTGTAAGTGTCATAATTTACTTTATGTAGTACATATTTTCTAATAGGAAATGGCTGCTTATTCGGCGACATGAATGTAATAATAATAGGCCAATGGCAAAATGTGGAGATAAATACATTACACATATAAAGTATAAAATGGACCTACAGGAGCCGGAGAGAAGGTGCTTGATCTCTTCGTTCTCTGGCATGTCCTGGATGGCAGCATTGATCTTCTCCCTGATTTCTTTCACTGCAGTCTGCCATTTGAGATTACAGTGACGCCGATCCAGCAGCCAGTCTGTGGACGCAATGATTAAGGTCATATATCTGTGGGATTAACATCATTTCATTCCTCTGTGGATGGAATACCTTTATGTTATAGCAGAGCTAGAAAGTACATATTCGCAAGTACAAGTATATTTTCCTCTTTTACTTATCTCAGAGGTACACCGTGTACTTTTCACTCTACATTTCAGAGGTACATGGTGTACTTTTAGCGCTACATTTCAGAGGTACATATTGTACTTTTCACTCCGCTCAATTTCAGAGGTACATGTTGTACTTACTCAACATTTGTCTGACCGCTTTAGTTTCTTCTTTTCCAATGACATTTTTTCACCCTCTTAATACCACGTATTACCAGATGTCATAATGAATGTTTGATCAAATTAAGGATCCGGTGTTTTCTCTTTTTGTTGAAAAACCCCTCTACTTAAAATGTTTAAAAGCATCTTGCATTTGCTGGGCAAAGACATTATTCACAACAGTGTTGGTTCTTTTAAGAAAATCGTTTCTCACAAAACAGCGATGCCGCAAACATGCTGATCTTATAGAATATGAAGTTGATTAAAGTAGTCAACTGGATATAAAGGAGTTGCACTGAAACACACAAATGGATGCAGCAGGAATAGTAATGGTGACATGCTGAGAGGGAATACTTTGCAGTACAATCACTACTTTTGAGTCAAGAACTTCCTGGTGATAATAATAACTTTTGCACGTGTTGTAAGTGTGTTTTATACTCGTCTTACCTAAGAGCTTGCCGGTCTGTATGTCGATTGGAAGGCTTTGAATATTCTGGTGAAGTGAGAACATTCAAAACATTACATTACACGTCATTCAGCTGACGCTTTTATCCAAAGCGACTTACAATAAGTGCATTTCAACCACACAGATACAAACCCAGAAGAACAAGAAAGTGCAATTTCATCAAAACAACAACACAAATGTCAACGTGTACATATTTCTGGCAAGGGGAGAAACTATTGCACTTCTGTAACGTAAAGCGGCTTCACGGTAAAGGACTATTGTTGAAAAGAACTGTTTTCTCTATGACGCTTTGAGAAATGTTCATTTTTCTGTTAGCTGGACTTTGACTGTGTGACAACTAGCTAACGTTAGCTGGCAGGTTCTTAAAAACCCGCTTTAGAGAGACGTTATTTTATCTCACCTCCATTGTTTCTCCACTTTTTCAAAACGAAATCTTTTCTGGGATGTTACGGCTTCATTTTTTTATTATTTAGCAGGTTTTTATCCAGGGTTGTTGTCACCATCCGGACTCCACTGACACGTTAGGAGAAGGAGAGCCAATAGAAAACGGGGACGTTAGATTTTCCACAGCTCTGACCAATCATGTGACACCATGCTGATGCTGGCCTCTGATTGGTTGTTTTACATCCTTTTTCGTTGCAGCGGTACAGCCCGTCGATAGAGGACGCTGTCGTCCTTTAGGTCATTTTAAAGGCAACTCATTATTTATTCATTCAGGAAGAGATACTCACATCCTTCAATAAAGTAAAAATACGGATACAACAAAACCATATCCTGTAAAAGTCCTATATTGAAAATCTTAATATGACAAGCAGTTTAGAAGGTACTGATATGGAAATACTAATAATATAGTTTTTTACATTACAATTTTTACAAGTACAATTTCTGCATTCAATATTTGCTTTAAAAGTAATATAATCAAAAGTATTATTATGCAGAATGTCCCATTTTAGAATTATTTTTCTTTTATTTATTATTGATGTATTTACCGCTCATCACTTCAATGATGCAGTTTACGAAGCGTAAACCAATTTAATTTTGATATGTATATGTTTGCGGAGTTGCTCAAACAAAAAAATACAACTTTGTTGATTCATGTTTTGTATTGTCGAAAAAGAATCAAGTGTTACAAATAGACGTTGGTGAGTGAACGTATCATAACATAGAAATACCTAAGAATTGTATCTGTGTTTACTTATTTTCCACTTCTGCTGAAAAGTAACTCCTGTTAATAAAGAAAGTATATATTGTTAGAAAAAACGCGAATAATGTCATGTCAAGAAGGGGGGGTTTAGACAAAACAAGGCTATGTCTGTATCGTTTGTATAATAAGTTGGGTGTATGACATGTCAGCTGAGATAAGATGACCGCTCAGGATATGAAATCTGTGTGACGTGTGTGTCCAGTGTCCAGAAGGCCCCTCAGTGTCTCGTGATCAGATGTATGTCTCAGGATAAAGGATAAAGAATATGCCGGTCCTTGTACAATGAGATCATTGTGCGTGCGCAAAACCTTCCTGTTTATCACCTTATCCCAGTATATATGTGGGCGGCTGGAAAAGAAGACCTTCGAGTCAGCTTGGTGGATAACTTGTATGTGTGTCAACTCTGTCTCCTGTTTGCAAACATTAAATATCCTGTTTTGATGATTTTACACTGGTGTCGAGTGAGAATTTTTCTAACATAATAATATACTTTTTTTTAGAATATATTGATTGATTCTACCGGAGCAATTGGGTAACACGCTACACACCGGCAGGCTGCCTGCCGCCTTTAAAGTGGTTGAAGTGAATTTTTCCCCATTCTTGTCTTGGCCAGACACAAATCGTATCCTATGCACCACCATTAAAAACATAAAAAGAAAAGTAACTATTTGGCAACTAGTTGAAACCCGGCACATGCAGCTGCAGCCCTGCTTCTAAGAATTCATTCCAGGTCATTTGAATGGAAACCAAACTTGCAAAGTAAGTGTCCATTCATTGACAGTGATTCCATGCAGGCCATGCAAAACATCAGGGGCCTTTATTTTTTTTAGAGCCCTCTCATCTATTTCTCTCTGCAGCTTAAAGCAATTACTTTAAAAAGAAAAGGAAAAGACTCAAACACAAAGATGACTTTAATCTGCGTCCAAATTCCACATTAAGACAAGAGCGTGACTGATAACAGGAGTTTATTTGCAGTTTGAGAGCCGCTCAGCTCTAGTTCACATTACCCCCGCTGTCAGTAATCTTTGATGTGGACTGGGAGGCCTCACTAAATCACGTGGTTGCAACATTTACTCGCTCATGCACTTAGCCAGAGCAGGCTTCAGTGAGGGTGTGTGTGTGTGTTTGAGGAGGGTGTGTGCTATAGAGGGGAGAGTACCGAGGTGAACGACGGAAAGAGATGCTGCACCTGTGCATGATCACCTGAAGAGCAGAAGAAAAGTCAGATAAAAACAGAGCAGAGGTGAAGATTTGCAAGCATGGCGGGACAACTTTGAGTCTGAGAGAATCTCCTTCCTCCTGCTCGTCATCCACAGGGTAAGCAGACACATTTCAAAGCATTTTATTTTTTATTCTTCTTGGTTTTCAACAACAAAATTCACCTCTGCTTCAGAATGGATCCGAATTAAATTGGTTTAGTTTGTTAACAACCTTCTAGTTTATTTAGTATCTTTGTGGGGCAAAGTCTTAAAAAGTACAGCCAAAGGTTTGATGGCTCCAGATTCGCAGATGTGACAGTTTATGGCTTTTCCTCCTCTAATGCTACAATTAATCAAATATTGTTGAGTTTGTAGGTAAAAGACATGTCATATCAATAAGTAGGAAGTAACAAGTTAAAAAATGAAATCATATGAAACAATACGCTGTCATTGTTTGTGTGATGTTTGCGGCGGTGACACTGTTGGCCATGAGAATATCATAAATAGTCATACATTTAATAACATTTCTGCACATTGCAGTCTTATCAGGGTTGTTGACATAACTGCTAGTGTGAAGTTCTCAGGAAAAGTCGGCCCTCCGCTTTCTTTGACTTCAAAGGCCTAAAGTGATAAAAAGTCATATTTGCATTATTATAAACACCAGAGAAGCCCCCCCCCTCCCTCCCTCTTCACCGACTCATTTAACTCTGCTGTTACGGGTCAACGGGGACGCCGGCACGCGGGAGGAAACCTGAGAGTCTAATGAAGCCGCGGCTCAATTATGGCGGCGCTGGCGGCGTCCTCGGTGCCCTTGGAGCCTCCTCTCCAGCTCGGACATTGTGCCTTTCAGAAAGGCTCTGCGGCTGGTTAGTGATTTCCGAAACGCACGCTCCCTTCCGGCTGTGATCTCTGAGGCTTTGCCCGGGCGGCTCGCCCACACAGAACAGAAAACATGGTAACCTATTAAAAGGGCCTCCTTTGTGTCAACAGGGCTTTTTGTCTCAAAGGTCACATCTTAGTCAAACATGCTGAAGGAAATTCGTGCGCATATTTTTTTTTTTATTTCTTTTTATCTCTGAACAAAAGAGAGTGCAGTGCTGCTCGAGGCCTACTTTGTTCTACAGAAGCTGCTTTATGTAAAGTCAACAATACTATGTAAATACCAGAGGAACCTGTCTTTTTCTTCAAAAACAAACACATTGATTTCCGCAAAATTTGGCAGGAAAAGAAAAAGGAATGAACCTGCACTGTTACCTGAGTGTCAATGGAATGAGTGTAATTAAGCACCACAGGGCCAATTAGCTCCAGAATAATAAAGCACAAGAGCTCAGGTGTAATCACACGTTCCCCAGTAACGTTTTAAGGTCACAACAACGTTAATTTAGTTGTTTGCTATCTTGCCTGAACCTTGGTACTGCTGGTTGGTGCCAGGTGCCAAACATCACGAGGTCCAGATAAGAGGAGGCGTGTTTCTGCGAGGGGACTGTGTATTTGCATGCGTGCTGCAGGATGAAATGACCACACCGCGGGAGGGTTAGTGCGGCGCTTTGCTCCCCGTCGGCCCGTCGAGGAAGTACGAATTGTGGCTATTTGTGGAAATCTTAAAAATAAGGCATATAAACTACATTTTTGTGGCAAACCTGTTAAGTTTAATTTGCTGTTGGAACACGATACAAGTTCAGGTCAGGGTGCAATTCAACCTAATACAATAATATGATGCTCAAAGGAGACGGTGGTACGATTTAAACGTTGCAACAGCCACGATAGTATGGCACAAAACTGTGGATGCTTTCAAATATGATTTTATCATCATTTATTATATAAATTAATATTGCATCCGTAAAATCAGTAAACCATGAGTGAAGATCTGTGTGTGTGAATTTTTTTGTTGTAACAATCAAGTTGCCAGGAGATCGAGAGTATAACAGCGAAGTAACAAAAGTGTAAATGTGCCTCCTCCATGAATTTTATTTGCTTTGGCTGAAATGTTATGAATAATCCAGAGGTTAGAGAAGAGAGCTGATACTCTTCACATGATTATTAATTTATCCGCTGAGGGCAGAGCGTCGAGTTTCTCTCACCCCCTTTATGTTACACCTGCTGAGGGAAAGATGCCCAGGTGTGTACTTGTGAGTGTGTAGCCTGCGGGTCAATTATCGGGATTTCATGTTGACACATTTCTGAAATATCCGTATAAATCTGCTAAAAATTATGATAGTGATATTCCAGAATTATTCTGTGAAACTTTCCAGAACTCATCTGTTTACTCCTCAGGTTGTTTAAATTCTACAGCGGACATCATCTTACATTACATTACATTGCATTACATGTCATTTAGCTGACACTTTTATCCAAAGTGACTTAATCTACAAGCCTATTGAAGAATACAATGTTATTTTTTCAGCGTATATCTTATTGTTCCGATATGTTTTAAGGAGAAAGGATTTGAGAGTATTCCACGTATCCATGTGTGGATTCTGTGGCAATGGGCCTCCGACACGGAGCAAGACAAACTACAAACCACAAACTAGTTAGACTCTCTGTCTCCTCATGGTTTCCTTGTGTCCTTTGTGATTGTTTTGCATCTCCTTGTAGTTGTTTTGTGGTTGTTTCTTTACAGTTGTTTTGCAACTTCCCACAGCCGTTGCTTTGTGTCTCATTGTAGCTTAGTTCATTTGGTAATTTTGACTCTTTTTCAGGTTGGTTAGTGTGTGTGTGTGTGTGTGTGTGTGTGTGTGTGTGTGTGTGTGTGTGTGTGTGTTGACGCTCGGCCCGTTCAGTAATCCATCAATGAATTGATGACGTTATCTCAGTATTTGCTCTGTGTCCTCCAGGTCTGTCCCCCCCCCCCCCCCCCTGTCTGTCTCCTCCGGCGGCACCATGGCCGACTCAAGTTGGGGGAAGCTGACCTTCTCCCGCAAGAAGAAGTCCGAATCCAAAGTCCTGTACGAGATCCCCGCGGAGTCCGGCAGCAACACCGCGCACAAGGAGCACCCCTCCAGCGGCGACCCCCCCCCGGACCGCATGGACCGCATGGACAGCCAGTTCAGCGCCAGGCTGGAGAAGATTGTGGATAAATCCGCCACCAAGGGCCGCCACGTCAAAGTGTCCAACTCCGGACGCTTCAAGGAGAAGAAGAAGGTCCGCGCGACGCTGGTGGAGAAGCCGGACCTGTTCGCCGAGCACCACCTCAGTGACGAGAACCACCAGAAGAAGAGTGACAAATAGCGGTGTCAGCGAAAGCTCGGCGAGGGATAGAAACACACACACACAAGCACAACCATGCGGGGCTTCATGTGCAAGGTGGACAAACAGTTGTTACCAGGAGCCACACAAAGGCAGATAGTGTAACCAATGGATACGCGCCTAAACACGCAGAGTGGTGCTGTTTATTTATCTGCATAAACTGACGCGAGGAGCAGAAGCATTATTGTAAATTCACGTTTTATTTTTTATGGAGGATGCGGATTTCTTTCGATTTCAAGCCTCTTTGTTTTTGTCTTACACAATCAGTACACAAGATGTCCATTTTTATTACGTTTCTACGACCAAAGTAAATAGAGACTTGATTCTGATGTCTGAAATATTGTGGTTCTCCATGTATATGGTAAATAATAATGTTTATAAAATCCTAAATTTACAAAAAATGTATTTAGTTTTTAATAAATGTGACAATAAGTTGATATAAAGAGTACATTTGTGTACGAATAGGTCTCAACCATTTGATTAAATCAATGATGCAGGCGACTCTGCGTGTTCATCTTGTTTTCAGGTCGGTGACATGTGCCGCTTCTGTTGCCATGGTGACGGCGAGCAGACACCTGATATGACATTTGATACGCAGCGCGCTGCTGCTGCATCTTGTATTCTGGCATCAGTTGACTCAATGACTCAGGCCAACAAAGATAAATGCGCTTCTTGATTGTGGGTCATGTCCTCAAAAAACGAATCAAAGGCCAAAGAGATAACGTGTAGTTTTTGATCGGGTTGTTTACCATTGTGTCCTGCTCTTAAATTATATTTAAATGAATTCAAAAAATTTTAAACACTGCAGTGCAAGTGTCCACTTAACTATGTTGATGACTAATTTGTCAAAAAGTTAAGTTGAAACAGGCAGAAATGACCAAATATGGGTTTCTGTTGATGGGCTAATGGTTATATTTGAATGACAATGAAATGTAGGATATAAATCAGATATAAAGAATTTGACAGAAAGACATGACGACATTGCTTTGCGTGCCAAGAGGTTAAGATAATTTCACAAATTGTCAACATTTCAAGTAGAATTTTCAGTGCAATTTATTAGAAGTATTCTTTTTTTGGCCACTGTTGACTCATTCGTATCTCATCTTTAGGCTTTTCTGTTTTGTTGATTTTTTTTTGCACGTGCGCTGCTGCTGACATCTGCTGGCCAAACACACACTTACTCCTCAGTTTCAAATGAATTTATTACTGCCTCTATTCCATTTTTCAAAAGCAAACATTCTTGAACAACACAAGACACATGCGCACAATTCTAACCATCAGCAATGCAATCGAAGCGTTGCCAATTACTTCAACACACAAAATGGACGGAAGTCGCAAAGAGATGTGCGTCATTGACGATCATCAATAAAAAAAGAGGGACAGGTGGAGTTTGCTCTCTTGCTGTAAACCGCGTGGCGTCTCCTTGCTCGCCGTGTGGTTGTGTCACGCCTGTGTCACCGTGGCAACCGCCAAAATATTGTCGTTGAGGAAAAAAACAAAAAAAACGACGACGACGTGATGGATAAATCCGACACACAGCAGCAGCTTTTCTAATAGACACTTCTTCTCCTTTTTCCTCTTGTTCCCGTTGCGGGTTTCCCCTCACGGGGAGAGACGCTGGTACACCCAGCCGCCCTCCGCGGCGTGCTGGAGCTCCCCCGGCTCAGACGCGCCGTCCCTCGGCCGGCTGAAGACGATGCGGTCGTGGAGGCGGTTGGTCTGACCCTGCCAGAACTCCATCACGGAAGGCTTGACCATGTAGCCGCCCCTGTTAGGATACATGTATTTGCAAAAAATACTTTTTTTTGAGAGAGAATTTGATGAGATTTGTGCCTCAATCTCATCAAATTTGAACAAAACCAGTATTTTTTTGCTTTATTTATTAAAGCTGCATTCTCTCCTATGACCACCAGGGGCGACTCCTCTGGTCCGATAGAAGTCTATGAGGAAATTTCAACTTCTCTCTTGATTGTAAACATGAGTTAATGGTAAGAATCTTTAGTTTCAACTTTCAATACAGCATGACATACATTTAGTAAATATGAGCCACACAAAGTAAGACTGTTTTTACACTTTGGATTCAGTTTGGTTAACAAAAAAGATGAGATATTTAGTAACCTATGATGGAGCAGGTAAATTGGACAAAGCCGGTCTTCGTGGTAAGATAAGCTAAAAGATAAAATTGTTTTTAATATAACTCCTTCAATGCTGCAAGAAAAAATGGACCACCGCCTTTCAATCTTAAGACTGTAGCTTGATTCAATGTAAAGGGATCGGAGCAATGCGTACCAGTAGTCCGGCATTGGCACATCTGTGTCTTTGTACTTCTCCTCCAGTTCCGCATTCTTCTGCCGCAGATACTAAAAAGAAACAACGGCGTGACAGTTTCGACTCGTACGTTCATGCATCCGCCTCCTCGCCGTCGGGCGGTTTGGGGCGCTTACGTCTCTGTCGGGGACCGGAGTGCTTTGTCGGCTCACGACGGCGCCGATCTGGCTGCTCTTTGGCCGGGAGTGGAAGTAGTCACAGGAGCTCTGGAAGGGGATTCTCTCCACGGTGCCCTCGATGCGAACCTGCACATCAGAGATGTGATTTGTTGTCTAATCGGTCTTGTTGTCCACTGTCTTACTGTCTGATGTTATGCACAAACTGGCACGTCAAATTCCTTGTATGTCTGACATGTTTTGGTAATAAATGTTCCTGATTCTTGATTTAATGAGCATATGCTGTGTGCAAAATGTATTATTTGAGCGAAAGATTCCGACCTGTCTGTTGAGGGGTTCCCAGTAGAAGACCAGACACGCATACGGATTGCTCTCCTGTGGACAAAGATCAGGCCAAAAGGAATAAAGAGAAACCACAAAATAATAAGTTAAAACACATGAGGCAATTCCATTGTCAATAACTGATTAAATACATCTGTAAAATGAGGTGAAAATAGAAAAGGCAATGAAAAAGAAAAACTACTAAATAAGATATGTTCAGAAAGGGGACACCAATAAATCAGCCATTTGATTGATTCATCTTCCTATTATTTTGCTTATTAGTAATTTCCAAAATGGTAATCTAAAATGATTTTAATGATATGATATTAATCTAAATAGTAATCTAAAATGAAGCATTTTTTGAGAAATACTTAAATATTTAAAGAAGTACAAAAACACACAGTGAAATCATTGCATGGTAAAATATTTAAGTCAACAGTTAGTGGTATAAAATATCAACATTTTTCTTTGAGGATGAATAAAGTACTTAATTTCTGTGTGTCAAAAATGTTGATTCTCATGCACAAAATAAAGTTCATGCAATTCTAAAATGTATGAATTCTTGGTTATGTTACTGTTCAGTATTTGTTTCAACTGCTGATTGAAGTTGTGCAACAAGTTAATCCACTGTTTCTTCTTTATTAAATTACAAAATAAAAAAGGAAGTTTCCAATGAGCTCAAGGTGACAGGTGATGTGCTTGTTTGTTTCAAACAAAGTTTTAAACAAGACCCTTTTTAAAGAGAGAGAGAGAGAGAGAGAGGGTCTTACAGAGAGAGTGAGACAGAGAGTGAGACATAGAGACAGAGACACCCACCAGCTCGGAGCCCTTTCTGCTCTCGTAGTTGGTGAAGAAGCGGAACCCCTCGTGGCTGTAACCTTTGAGGAGGACCATGCGAGCAGACGGGCGCCCGTCTCTGCGCAGACAGAGCGAAGTCGTCATCAACAGAGGACCAGGAATTCATTTGGCATTTTTCGAGAGAGTGGTGTTACGTACTTGGTTGCCGTGGCGATGCACATGGCGTTGGCCTCCCCGATTTCGGGGCACTTTGTGGCTTGATCGAACCAGTCGGCAAACTGCTTGATCGGGTCCAGAGACACGAGCTGGCTCTCCTCAAAGCACTGTGGACCAATTAATCAATCACTGAGCAGCAGGCAGTGCACACACAAAGGTACTTTACATTTCATGCGATTATAGTTTTTACTTCATTACATCTCAGAGATACTTTTTGTTGTCAGACACTTTTAGTAACTCTTGTTGGTGATGAACTGAATGTGTTCAGTCATGTTTCTTTTAGGTGTTAATGAAATCCTCCTATTTCTTAAGAAAAATGGACTTTAAAAACCCTCTTCGATCAGCTGGAAAATACATCATCACAAGCTGATGTTAGGCTATTGTTTTTTGAGAGAAAGGCTACAAACATGATGAACTTACACTTGCAGTGGGGTATTTTCTCTGAGTGCTATTAGTACCACTGGAAGCAGACATAATATTCCTAAACCTCATGCAGGCTTTGAATGACCAGTTTGAGCGTCAGTGCCTCATTTAGTTTTTTGTAGAATATATTGTACAGGTCAAAAGTCAAAGTCTGAAACATGAAAACAGAGACACCTTCTGCTTCACATAGTGTATTTAGCATTAGAATAACGACTTGAACATTATGCAGTATGTGTACACCTAACATTGGCTTTGTATCATCGTAACCTTGCAGCAACACAGACAGGTTTATATGTATATATCGCTGCTGCACAGGCACCCACCTCCTCGTCTCCCTTGTATTTCTTCCTCATGTCACTCAGGTCCATGGTCGGTCGCTCACTCGACGATTTCCTGCAGAAATTCAACGCAAACGACGCACGAGACGACGGATTTCTTCCAAATACTCTGATCAGCCCCAGTAAACCGAGTGTGCGCCTCATGCTTGTCAAACTGTCGCTGACGTCACCACGCATCCTCCGTTACGTAAAACATTACGCAAAACGTTTTGTAACCTTTTGAGGGGACGTGATTTAAATTCTCGCATTTTAACACGAAGGCCTTTACTTAATATATATATATAAGGTTGATTGTTGGATCAGGGGATATGAATCAAACCCAAAGTCAAAGAAATGAGGATATGACGATTAAAGCTGCACGTCGACGCATCATGCTGCATTCATGTCCTCTGTGTTAATAAGACCATCCGAGTGGGGGAAACGTTAAACTTTAAAACGTTAAAACGTTAAACGTTTTCATTATTAAAAACAATAACAATCAATGGATTATTGTAGAAAATGATCATCAAAATGCGCTCTCCCATCAAACATCTACAAAAGGATGGTATTTAAGAGTAAAATAAAAATGATGATCATGATATAATTGCTGTATCGTTCAATTCGTTCATCCGATAAAACACGAACGCAGCATTCGTTCATTCGTCACTTCCCGATTACCGGTTTCCTGTTAAAGATGGCGGCGACCTTGTTTGTAAAATTTCTACCGAAACAGGGTAATGTGAAGTAATTAACGCATTTCTAGCTTTAGACAACTGTCTGTACCGACTTAGTACTTTGTTTCTTCTGACACAATCTACAGCTTGCAGTGTTAGCTAGCTTCTATTAAACAGCATATGCGATAGGCCAGATGTGTTTACGTTAGCTAGCTCATATTAGCAAGCTTCTAATTAACATTGTTTCGGATAGGGTGGTGTTTAGCTAGCAGTGTTCGCTAACAGTTAGCTCCTATTCAACAGCGTTTCAGATCGGGTGGAGGCGTTTAGCTAGGCAATGTTAGCACAGCAACATTAGTGGGTGATCAACAGACTTTGTGTCTTCCAGGATGGCTTCCCCTGACACAGTCGGTTCGGCACGGCTCCAAGGCCGTGACTCGCCACAGGAGGCCGATGCACATCCTTAAACAGAAGCTCATGGCCGTGACGGAGTACATTCCACCTAAACGGGTCATCCCTCCTGGAGCCTATCCAGCCCAGCGCAGAGGAGGCCAGGAGGTAACGCTCATCCCGCTGTAAGCCTCCAAGGGCCGAGAGCTGCATGTCCAATGCACTCAACGTGAACCAAAGCCTTCAGACAAAGACTTTATAATGTGACTAGTGATCTTACAGTACAACCAACGTCCTGTGTGCGTTTAAAGCATTGTGATCGTGTACTGTTCTTAGCTTGTTTACCAGAATCCCATTAAATATAATTGAATAACGATAATAGGCTTATTCAGTAAAATGACTCCCTTCTGAGTGCACAGTGCATTCAAGCATCAACTTAGTTTGACATTGAGGAAGTCCAGCGACATGTTATGGAAGCCTGAGAGGAAGCTTTTTTTGAAGATCGAAATAAGCGGGTAAAATGAAGCAGGTATCAAGCAGAGCAGCATATAACACATGCATTTTGGACCCAAACGTTATTGACCCTAAACTGGTCCAACTGTCACAAAGTCAGCAGCAGAACAGTGTGTGAAGATGGATGTCATGTGACCAACATTAGATTAAATGAATCTATGCAAGAAATTCTGCTTGTTTTGATTTAAAAAAATGTTCTGGAAAAAAGTGTTTTGATCCTCCAAAGTCACAAAGTTAAACAAATATATTTTGTTGGTTTTGGAAATAATAACTCATTGGTGATAACCACCCTCATTTTTCTTGTTTCAAACCCGTAGTTAGCAGCTTCACTTCACACATTACTCCCTTCTATTCCACCAGGACAGTCCTTATACGTTGGTCTTGAAGAAGAATTTGAAGGACGTTTTCCAGGACTCAAAGATGGTCGCTGTGGTCCAGAACAACGCCTGTAACTATGAAGACATGATGATTCTAAAGAACAGACTCCATAAACATGGCATCGCCGTCAAGTTCTTCCCCAACCAGGTAATACTGAACTAGTTTTACTTAAAAAATAAGAGCATGTTATCGACATTTAAAACCATGAAATCCAACATGTGTTACATTTCTTTTTGACCGGAGCCACATGTTTCTTTTGACCGAGGATCACAATCTCCGGCGTAATAAGGGACTATTATGTTTAACTCATTGCACATTGTCTTGGTTTCACACAATTTAGTTTTCAAGCTGTGAAACACTCATTTTCTGTACTGCTGCATATATGAAACGTTATAATGTCTCTGTGATCACCTTTACACCACCAAAACACAACATTCTGCACAACTTTGAACCCCCTGTAATCCTTTCTAATAGATATTTTTAACCGTATTCTAATTTTGAATCCTGTTTTTTTTTTTTTCCCCCGCCCCCAGGCGGTTCGGTCGTTCCTTAAAGACAGCCCTTTCTCCAACATGGCTCCTCTGTTCATCGGTCCCACGGTTCTGTTTGTCAGCAAAGAGCCAAAAGTGAAGGAGATGCTGTCAACTCTGAGGGTCAGCCAACAAATGACACTGCTTGGTATGTTTGTTCTTAATGTAATATCTATTATCAATAATGAATAAAATGCATTTTACATCTAAATCATCTTTTAAAGATGAGAACCGTTTTAACCCACTTGGATCTCGTGTCATTATTCGCCCCCCTCACATATTGTGCTTAACTGGAGCTCATTCTTCACTGCTCCCCTGTCAACAGGAGCCTGTGTAGACAACACGCTGCTGAGCGCTCGGGGACTGGCGAGCTACTCCAAATTGCCGTCAATGTCCGTAATTCAGGGCGAGCTGGTCAGCGGGCTGACGATGCTCACCTCCCACACAGCTGCCATGCTGCAGCGCCACCCGGCCCACCTGTCGGCCCTCCTCCAGCAGTACATCAAACAGCAGAGCTCGGAGGGAGCGCCCAAAGCAGAAGAGGCCACGTAGAGGATCGTTTATTGTAATTTCACAACTGAGTTGCAGGGAAGCTTTTAAAATGTGGACTGGAGAAGTTCCTCTAGCCTTGAAATTGACGATCGTACAATGTGCATCCAGTCAGTGTCCCCAAAGAAATTCCTTCCTATGTAAATAAACTATTTCCAAACAAAATTCCCATTCTCTTTGGATTCAAGAATTGCAGTGTGACATTGTTTTCCATCCATCCATCCATTGTCAAACTGCTTATCCTGCACACAGGGTTGCGGGGGGGGCTGGAGTCTATCCCAGCCAACCTTGGGCGAGAGACTGGGTACACCCTGGGCTGGTCGCCAGCCAGTCGCAGGGCTACACAGAGACACACAACCATTCACACTCACATTCACACACCTTCGGGAAATTTAGAGTCACCAATTAACCTGATCCCCAGAGCATGTCTTTGGCCTGTGGGAGGAAGCCGGAGAACCTGGAGAGAACCCACGCAGACACGGGGAGAACATACAATTGTTTTGTGTTTGTATTTCATTTGCCCAAAGTAGCTGCAGTGGCGGGATGGAAAACCACTCCAGCCAATGTGGTCACAGGTTAATCTACAGATTACAGCATGTTAATCTGGGTCAATTATTCTGTTACAGCCAGCCTTTCTGAGGGAGGCACAAGTCCTCGGCCCCTGAGGTGTCTAAAAATACATTTGAATTCAGATGTGAAGGTGGTTTATAGCACTTATTTAAAGAAATAACTTATTTTGTTTTTTTCCATCACAAAATTAATAGACATTCCAGATCTTTGGCGACGTTTACAAACTTCTGTTAAAGGGTTTAGTGTAACCAGGAGTGGATGAGAAACCAACATAATTGTAGTCAACACACACATTTAAGTGCACACGTATAAACGATTTCTCTTGACGAGGCCTCGTTTAAGGTCCCGCCCAGAGAGAGTCGAGGTTGGCTGGATTTATCCTCCGTTACCTCCCTGGATGGTCGCGGTGTAATTCCATCTAATGCGGATAATGCCCAGGACAGATTGCGCACGATGCGCCTCCGACGCACTGCTCCCCTCGGATTGGATTCGGAGGGACGGAGATTATCTCTAGATGTAACTTCTAGTTTCACTTTTTGTTTTGTTTTGTTTTGTTTGGGATTTTTCGAAAGTTTCTTTTACGCCAAATGACGCTTTTCGGATCGCGATGAGCGTCACAGGTGGATTTCAGGTGAGACTTCCTGTTTCTTTTAAACATAAACTGGCTCAGAAAACAGCAAGAACATTCTGCGGTTAAATTGACGTCATGTTGTACTTCCTCAGTAAAACAACATGCACATGTGTTTGTTGTACCACATCATCCTGCAATTTCTCTAACAATCTGACTCCCAAAGATGCTCCTTTTAGGCTCTCACCGGTTTCGTGATCGCAAAACTTGGATTGGATTTAATCAGGATTATTTCAAATGCTGGAATACATTTCTACCCATAAATATTTCGTCTTCGGCTGACCTTTAATTGGCTACGGTTATTTTCAAAAAGATTCAAACAGTGAGATTGTAGCAGACATAATCTCTGTGTTTTAACCCCCTCCGGCATGATGCAGCTCTTTGACTGGACTTGTTTTGGTTTCCACATAATGAGTTGGTGCATCATTCTGTTACAGCATTTTAATGCTTCATTCCATCCAAAAATGGATTCAGATTATTTGAAGTGGGTTGGATCTAAATTTCCTAAAAGTACCCAACCTCTAGTGAAAATATTGAAATCTCAGATCATACCTGGTGGAAACTGGCATAATCAAATTACATAAAAATATCTTGTTCATCCGAATAATATTCTTTATTCCGTCTTGAGTAATAAGCGAACTCAGAAACCTGCAAATCCTTTCATCCCTCTTCCACCTCACGCTGTCATCACTGAGGTCACTTCCTGTGCTGCTTTTACATAACGTGGTCCTGTGTCCGCTTTAGGAGGAACATCAGTTTGAATGGTACATCCGTTCTGTTGTTACACACACACACACACACGCACACACACACACACACACACACACACACACACACACACACACACACACACACAGACTGTATGAATGTAGAATCTACTTGAGGGAACTGCCTCACAAACACGTTGCGTTTAATGGAACTCATGGATTTGACTTCAAAGTAATGCACTGTATTATTACACTTCTAAAAGTCATTTATTCGTACTTTATCTATTCCAAACGAATATGATTCTCGCATACATCTGTTTCCACTGCTCAAATCTCATTCAACTATCCCAATGAATCATTCAGCACAACGTATCTCTATTTTTCTGAACAGTGGTTCTCCTGTTCAGTGTTGAGCGGTTCAGGTTGAGCGGATAACAGACGTATCTCACAGTCTGCGGAGGCCGCGTTGTTCGTCCTGCAGCTTTACGCTCCTCGTGCTGTCGGCCTCGTGCCACTCCTCCACCGAGCGGCTAAAAAAACCTCCTCTTAAAACCCAATTAAGCAAAGGTTAGTAATCCTCTCCAGAGGAGGACGGAAACTGTTCCACCAGCTCGTGTGGAATCAGACTGCATCCTGTGTGAGGACCTTCATCCGGTTACACGAATATAAACAAGAGCTCTGACTGCTCGATGAAAGAACACGACCAGGTGAAGCGGTTCCTCACATGGAACTCAAAATAGAGTGTCACAATGTATGTTTTTTTTTGTGCAAAAGCAGAGAAAACGTCAATTCTGGGACACCGTAAGCAGAAGAATGAAGAATGTTTAGCTGTCTGTTTCATTGAGATCCAGATTGATCTGGAGGAGGAACCCGCAAGTCCAACGTGTGCCCAGGTAGCTCTGCTGGCTAACTGGATTACACCAACTCGTCTCCGGCTCAGTTGAGCCGCTTTAACACTTTCACGTTGGTTTCTGTCCTCAGGGGCCTAAAACGGCCGTATAATATAATAGATGTGCAACATTTGATAAATGTAAGACGTTAAAGGAAGAGCTGACCTGAAAAAACCTTCGCATGTGTAATTTATTAAAACGTTAATTTATCAGAAACATATTTTTTATCTGAATTTAGATACGTCTCGTTCCTCCATTGTGCCCTTTTCTGACTCTGGGAACAATCTCACCAAAAGGTCCATTTAGTAGCTGTTCTGGAGCTTTTTGTCTCATCGTATGATCTTCATCAGCAGCGGTCATGAATGTCCCTTATATATACTATATATATATATAGTATATTTCCCAGCACTAATCAACCAGTGCTTTTAGCACAGAGAGCTACGCAGACGTGTGTTCCTATATGTTGCAACACTGACTGGTTGACATAATATTAATAATAATACAATACAATCTGTCCAGAACCAGGGGGTCCCAGCAGAGAGGGGGGTCTGAGGTCTGCGCTATACCTACCATGGCGTCATACGGGTCCTCGCTCAACCTTAGCCAATCGCTGGCGAGCGGCCCGGAGAAGTCCTCGCCCGCCTGGAAGCCGTCCCACTCGCGCAGCAGCAGCACTCTGTCGTCCTCCAGACACGTGAGTCGCCATATGCACGCCGTGCCAAAGGGATTGTGGGTATATGTGTGTGTGTAGATTTCCCCAGAGTTCAGTGAGTCTCGATGCTTTGGTTATTTATGTGAAAAGAAGTAAAAAGATACCAAAGAGTCCTGGAACTGAATCAGCACGTCTGGCCCCTTCGATTCTTTCAATGTGTTTTTTTTAACATTTGACGAAGTCTTTCTGGTGAATTCTGAAGCTTACCAACAAGTGACTGAATGGGACGACCAAAGGTCACTTTATACTCCCCTTTTCCTTCACGCCGTTTGTAGGTTGTCAAAGACTGGGAGGTGATCGACGAGACCCAGGCGGGAGGTGACAATCCTCACGAAGTGACGACCCCGGGAATCTGTGAAGGATACCTCCTGAAGAGGAGGAAGTGGCCTCTGAAAGGTTGGCACAAGGTGAGGAAACCATCCACTCCGTCATCTCCTACAGGATTTATGAATAAAGGTGGAAAATGGAGAATGTTTTTTAATCTATTTTTCAGCGATACTTTGTCTTGGAAGTAGGGAACCTGCGTTACTCCAAAAATCAACAGGATGTAAGTAGATATCATCACATGATTGTTCACCTACTTCTGAAAACACTAAATTCCCCTTTGTGCCCTAAAGGTCTGCAGGGGGAGAGTCCAGGGCTCTTTGGATGTCGGCCTCGCTGTCATGTCAATAAACAAGAAGTCCAATCGGATTGAGTTGGACGCTGGGGACATTCTCTATCACATGAAGGTAAAGATCTCACAACGAATGGCAAGAGGGCCCTGAGATTAAAAATGTAATATATGACTTCTCTTGTGCTCTCTCTCCAAGGCAAAGAGCCACGAGCTCTTCTACATTTGGGTGACCAAGCTACAAGCCCACCGCCTGTACAAGAAGAACGCTTCGTCCCACTGCGCCGCGGCTGGACAGTCTCTGAGGAACGGAGACCTGGTGATTACCGAACGAGCCGTCCACGTCGAGCGTAACGCCACCGTCTTCGAGGGGAGACTCGGGGCTGAACTCCTCTTCCCTCTGTTCGCCAGGTCTCTGGAGGCGTGGCGCATCCAGCCGAAGCGCCGTCCGGGGTCCCGCCCTCCGCCAACAGCAAAGTGTCGGCGTGGCTGCAGCAAAGCCACGACCCGGACCTCTGCGTTCAAGGTGTGTGTCTTCTGGAATATGTTGTTGTATTGAGGAACACCACGTGAAGTCTGGATGATATTTTAAGAAAGTGTCCTGAAAGGTTAACGAACCTGCTAGTGGAAGTGTGCCTTGCAGTTGTGTATCTGGTGGTAGCCAATAGTACTTCAGATGCCAAAAAACAAAAGCTATTTCAGTTTAAATGTGCGCTATGAGATTAATATAAAGTAAATGTTTATGAGTGGGAATGGAAACCACTGCATCTATGTATACTTCTCGCCAAAGCCACCAGACTCCATTGGAAATAATAGTAATTTTACCTTACTGAAGATACCGACGTCTACTGACACGGCCTCCATCGACCAATTAGTACATAAAAAAAACACACACACAATAACAAAAACTAATTCTCCTAGCGCGACAGCAGAAGACCAGCAGCTCCTGTCAATAAATATGTAAATCATGTTCTATTCCAGAGCTTCATCGTTGCAATGTGGAACTTTCTGAGATAAACCGCTTAATCCAGAGGCTGCAGATGTT